TCCCCATTCAGCAGACCTGGACCTCTTTAAAGACTGGAGGGAATAGCAGAATGTTCAATGGTTAATTTTCTTTAGCTTTCTACATCTTCTCCACCCAAGGCTTTGAAGCTTTGGGGCACCCCATTTGTGAATATTTACTCATCAGGGGATAAGGCTTATTCCTGAGGAGACTAGGATTTCCCCTCATCTCAACCCATGTGTATCTAGTTTAAACCCCAAATGGTTTTGGGTTTTTTTTATGAGGGAGAAAAAGTACATTAAGGCTACTTTACTGAAAAATGATGAGGCAGTGAAGTAACAGTAGTGGAAAGCAGCTAAATCTCTTTGAGCAGAAAAGTGCCTGCCTGCTCTGAAGGAATCCCTGTGGTCTGAATAAGGCAATTCTAAACCAAATTCGTATTTTGTAGAGTGCACTATAAGTAGTACACATACCCGCAGTGTGGATTTCTAGCTTGCTATATAGTCAATATCTCTTCAAGATAGATGGTAGCTGAATTTACTATCCAGTAAATGGACAGTTACAGCAAACAGACTGCTGCTTCCTTTTTACTGAAGTGAGTGCAATTCTCTTCTCCATATCTATTGTCTACAATCTATTCTCAACTCCAAACTTTATGTAATTAGGAAAATAAATAGTACTTCCTTGTGCAATATGGATTAGAATAACATTTATTCGATCACCCTTACAAATGCTTTGCAGTCTTCAGAAAAAGATGAGTTCCACCACAGGCGGTTGAGGGAGATCTTCCTGCTTATTTTTACCATTGCTTTCAGGAAAGTTTTTGCCTGAAGCTACTCCAGTACACAAACCACATGTTCCTTTTATGCATGAGAAAGAAAGCAAAAACAGTTAATCTATCTATAATGAGCAGCCAGTATATTTTACATTTTATCACAAATCTACCAAAAATTTGCAGTTGACATACTGCAATCATTGGGCATGTTCCACATTACACATGGTCTGCCTCAGCATAATTGGTTTTCATGTGTTATTCCATTAGTTGTCATTCACAGTTTCAGTAATATGTAATATGGCATACAAACTATACATTCATGAAAGTTATTTTTTAAATGTATGTTAACAAATATTGTTTATGTATTTCATTTATAGCCCATTTCAGTCCAGCGCTTTCAGCATTATATAGAGCAATACATGTTTATGTAACATAAGAGTTTTCTATGCAGAGCAGAATGGTGGTCTAGTTGTAAAGATGCTCACCTCCCATTTGGAAGATTGAAAATTCAATCCTAGGTTGCGGCAGACATTTCTGTCCTAGGGTGCAAAACAAAAAAAGAATATTTGCTGCAAACTTCACATAGGTGTCAGGAAGAGCATTTGGCTAGTAAACACTCAGCTCCATCCAGTTGCCCAGACACTCTACCCAATAGGGACTACAGGATCATAAAAAGGGTTTTCTTTCCAATGACCTGGTTCTCCAATATCTGACATGGACCTTCTTAATCCACGCAATGTCCGAGCTGGCCAGACTGTCTCCATTTCTCTCTCTTTCTCCCTCCCCCTCTCCCTGTCCCCCTCTCTCTCTCACACACAGACTTCTTTCCTTTTTCTGTAGTATATAGCTTTTCTCCAGCAAATCAACATTCGTATGTGTACTTTCACTGGTCTTCATTCTGTCTGTGTATCCCTGAGACATTCCATCTGTGTGGCAATAATGTTTAATCAGCATTCTTTATGCCCTCAGGCACAAATAGCCAAGCTTTCTTATTGCAGGAGCAAAAACATCTGTCTTTTATGGGCCAATGTTCCCTCATAGTAGATTGACCTTAAAACAGCCCATCCAGCACAGTAAGCAATATTCATATTGCAGGAATGCAGTTGGCACTGTGTGCCATCTGCAGCAGTGTTAGGATATTTAAATTGTGGGGAGAACCTTCAGCTGTGATGGAGTTTGGTGATGCTGCTGAAACCACTAGCTTTAAATAAGCATCACTTGGAGGAATTGTCCTTTGTTTCTCATTGTTCCTTTTTACTCTGGTGTGTTTGTACAGTATTTCCCTTTCCATCAATGAATACATCATAGGTCTAGGAAAAATTCATCTTCTTTTTGCTTCTGTTTCTCTTTTATTCTCTGAATTTATTTGTGGAGGAGCATGAGGAAGAGAGAGAATATTGCTTTAATATTATTGACCATAATACTGCAAATCACTAAATCAGCAAAAAAGGACACTGTACAAGAAACTGGTAGTGATACTCCTATCATACTTCAGAACCATGGGGTTCTCTAGCAACTAAATTCCGCAAATAGTGAGGGGAAATTTTCCCCTTACTCTGGTTACCTGTTAATTGGATCTTATATTCACTGAGATAAATAGCTGTTAGTTAAGATTGCCTAGTAGCCTGGTAAATTTAGCCCTCTTAGTAATGCCTAAAAGGAGTATCTCTCTTCCCTGTCCTTCTCTCTGAGGTTCCCTCTTCCCTTCCCCTACTCTCCATATTCTCCCCCCTTCCTCTTTCTTCTCACTGCAGCCTTTTCATCTGCAAGGATATTTATGTTGCACTTGTAAGTTAGTTGCTACATGCAGTCAGTACATCAATTAATGGAGGCACTTACTTTTACATGTGCTATATATCCATTACCAGAGAGGGGAAAATCTTTACAATGATTTCAATTGAAGTTGATACCTTTAAGTTAACAAACTGCCGAAGCTGAGCACTGTATAGGATTTTTGTCTATATGTGTGAGAGAGAGCGTATAGTTCTATCCACTTTTTTTCCCAGTGATCAACTTAAATTCAGTGTATTTCAGCTACATCAGTATAAGGATAAAATTAGTTTGATCAAGCAAGCTTCTCATAGAGTATGAATTCCTTTCTAAATGATTGAAAAATTTATATTCTGACATCATGACTGATCATTTAATATAAATCCTTTGCAAATTCCATTGCAAAGTATACAGAACTGGCCTACCACAATAAAATAGGAATTCATAATAAGATGAAACTCAGACCTATAAGCAGTACACCCAAAGCCTTCAAAAGCCTCTATAAAAATAGCCACAGAATTATAATTTTAATGTGTCAGATGAGGAAAGTAATTAAATACAAGGGATTCATGTGATCATAGTAACTAAACTTAATGCTACATACCAGGGGTGAAATCCAGCAGGTTCTGGAGAACCGGTAGTGGAAATTTTGAGCAGTTCGGAGAACTGTTAGCGGAAATTTTGAGCAGTTCGAAGAACCGGCAAATACCACCTCTGGCTGGCCCCAGAGTGGAATGGGAATGAAGATTTTGCAATATTCTTCCCCCAGGAGTGGGGAGGGAATGGGAATTTTGCAGTAACCTTCCCCTGCCATACCCACCAAGCTACACTCACCAAGCCACCCCCACAGAACCAGTAGTAAAAAAATTTGGATTTCATCACTGCTACATACATTGTACATAAATCATATCTAATTTAATTTTGTCCCTTCCCAGTGTTTGGAACGTACCTCCTTCTCAAGTGCAGCCTGGAAAGAAAACCCTGTTTCTTGTAACTTATGTTGTTTCCCCAAGAGGATATTTCCGTGCCAATCGGGTTTCAGGCCCGGATACAGCATGGAGACGGCATTGGTCACGCTGGTGGATGATCTCTGGAGGGCTCGGGACAGAGGTTATTCCTCTGTTCTGGTCCTATTAGATCTTTCGGCGGCTTTCGATACCATCAACCATGGTATCCTGCTGTGACGTCTTGAGGGGTTAGGAGTGGGAGGCACTGTTTTGCGGTGGTTCTCCTCTTACCTCTCGGGTCATACGCAAGCGGTGTTGATGGGGGGACAGAGGTCAGCCATGAGGCCCCTCACTTGGTGGGGTGCCCCAGGGGTCGGTCCTCTCACCTCTTCTGTTCAACATTTATATGAAGCCGCTGGGAGAGATCATCCGTTGTTTTGGGGTGAGGTATCATCAGTATGCCAATGATACCCAGCTTTTTATATCCACCCTGAACCAGCCCAGTGATGCCCTCGGCGTGATGTCCCAGTGCCTGGAAGCAGTACGGATCTGGATGGGGAGGAACAGGCTTCGACTCAACCCTGCCAAGACTGGGTGGCTGTGGGTACCGGCACTCCGGTCCGATCGAGAGGTCCCATCTTTGGCTATAGGGGGCGAGGTGTTACCCCCTGAAGACAGGGCACGCAACTTGGGTGTCCTCCTGGACTCACGGTTGAGCTTAGAAGATCATATAACAACCGTAACCAGGGGAGCATTTGCCCAGGTTCACCTGGTGCGCCAGTTGCGCCCCTATTTGGACCAGGATGCCCTACGCACAGTTACTCATGTGCTAGTCACCTCCCGTATTGACTACTGCAATGCACTCTACTTGGGGCTGCCCTTGAGGACCACTCAGAGGCTTCAGCTGGTACAGAATGTGGCTGTGTGGGTTGTGATGGGAGGGTCCCGATATGCCCATGTTACACCTCTCCTGCATTGGCTGCCGGTTGCCCTCTAGGTGAGATTCAAGGTGCTGGTGATGACCTATAAAGCCCTACATAGCTTAGGCCCAGGATATCTGTCGGACCATCTGCAACCAGCAACAGCTTCCCATCACCCTGTGCATTCTCACAGGGAGGGCCTACTCAGGATGCCGTCGGCTAGACAATGTCGGCTGGCGACCCCCACAGGTAGAGCTTTCTCTGTGGGCATGACCACCCTTTGGAATCAACTCCCCCTGGGGCTCCGGTTGGCCCCTGACCTTCACACTTTCCGCCGCAAACTAAAAACATGGTTGTTTAAATTGCCCAGCCTGGACTGATGGGGTTTGGATTATTTTTAATGTGTTTTAATATGCGTTTAATATATATTTTTAATATGTTTTTATTTCGATTGAGATTGTATTTCTTAATTGTTGTGAGCCGCCCTGAGTCCTATGGAGATAGGGCAGCATACAAATCAAAATTAAATAAATAAATAAATAAATAAATAAATATTTCATAGTAATAATATAGTCCCTCATGTTACACAGTATTTATAGAAGAATTGAATGACTTTCTCTTGTTTAAAGTCTCTTTCTAGTGGAAGACACAGGAGCAGTAGTGGGTTCCACTTACCTTCACTACCGGTTTGGAACTGTGAGCGTGCGTGCCTCTTCTGCGCATGCGCAGAACCTTCTGCGCATGCACAGAGCATCCATGATGACGCCTGGGTGGGTGGGCGGAGCCTCCCACTGTCGCCACTACCAGTTTGCCTGAACCAGGGCAAACCGGTAGAACTCCACCATTGCACAGCAGGTACAGTTTCTCTTTAACTTCCCCTTGAGCTGTGCTTTTAACAAATAGAAGTGGTTCATGTGTCCAAGAAAACTAAGGTGAACTGTGTCAAAAAATAAACCACCCCATCTTACCTGCTAGTAAGCCTAATCCTTCAAAGGAACATGACTAGTGCTAGTTGAGGAAATGTGTAGAAAAGCATGCATAAGCCCCATAGTTAAGAAACCAGGATGCATGAAGCCCTTTTGGCCTTTACCCTTCTTCATCGCTTCCCTCTATAGTATATCCATTGCTTCAGTTGCATGCATAGATGGTGCATAGAAAAACACACATACTGTATATCTTTAAAATGGCACATATACGTAGTTGGTTTCTTACGAATCACAGGTGTGGATTCAGTCTTTCATCAAGCCTACAATTAATTAAGTCTATCAAATAATTTACTGAAAGCTAAATGACTCTCAGTGGAAATCAAAGGATGAAAACCTAAGTCTCTTAAATATATTTTTAAAAACGTCATCAATCCAAATTGTATTTAACATTCTTTGGTGTTTATAAATGGAAGGATTTATACCATTCCATTCCCCACCATCCAGTCAGAGCTGAAGAAGCTTCTTGAATGAGAACTGAAACGTCTTCAAAGAAAAACCAGAAAGTCCAGTTGCCTCTTGAAAAAGCACCTTTGGGATAATCCTGTGCTGGTTTTGCATTATATTATTTCTATGGAAAGAAAAAAGATTAGTTTTGGTGCAGTAGGGCAGTCCACTAGCATTTCCTGTAGTCAAAAATAAAATGTTACTGTGGAAAACATTTACATTAGGGGCAATATTTCTTCCAAAGACCAAATGTTCAAAATTGTTTATTTGCCCAAGTAGATGGCAACGCCCAGCTTACTTTGGCTGATACTATAAAAATAAGCAGAGTAGGCCTAAATGGATACTTGGATGAAATCCCAGGCTGTGAATTTTTCAAACTAATCATGATATTTTCTTTGTTGTCAGTCATTTCATTTTTACTAACAAATATACTGTATTGTTTTTGACAGGACTGCCCAAGGAGCTAATGAGAAGGTGTAATGTCACCTTGTAGATGCCACAACATGTTGGATGGAAAGAAATAAAAAAAAATGGATATTTCAATTTGAAAAAGGATTCTCACACACAGATTCGCAATTGCAAACAGCCATGTCCAAAAAAGGGCGCAGCAAGGCTGAAAAGCCTGAAGTTCTGATTATGTCCTTACAAGCAGCCAATGAAGATCTCAGGACTAAGCTGACGGATATTCAAATTGAGCTTCATCAAGAGAAGTCTAAAGTGAGTAAAGCACTGATACCAGGGGATTTAAATGTTGCATGGCAAATTATGAAGTTTCTTCACTTCACTCTGGAAGAGAGGAAGAATACTAGAAAAATACATTTTATTTATTGCTGACATTTGCCAGAGTAAACATAAAGGGGAACTCAATCAATGAATTACAGCTGAGTCAACACTTGTCTCCAGAGTATACTTGTTTTCCACCTATTGTCATTTTACTGTGGCTCAGTACAGAAAGATTTCTGTCTAAAATTGGAATATTTTTTAAAGATTCAAAATGGAATGGAATGTTTTTGTTACCTGTTGTGGGGGAAAAAATCATACAAAGGATCATACAAAACAAAAATGTCTCCTATAAGGAACAAATAGGAAGATTGTACTAAGTACATATATACTATAAGCAGCACTTCCTCATAGTTCTTAGGAAAACCGAAATATGGGATTCTTGAAGTTCTCTAAGCTTGGTTGTTTTCTTGCAGACATTTCATTACCAGCCTGGGTAACATCATCAATGCATGGGTAAATAGAGTTTGTTTATATTTAGCAGTCTTGGTTGGAGAGTGGTTTTAGGCAGTGGTTTCTACTTTGATGGTTCCTTAATCAGGAACACTTTGCATACATACTTTTTAACATCTCTGTTTGCAGGAAAAACAACGTTCAAATGTTTCTTGTAGTTATTTAAGATTTTTTTTCTGTTTGTACTTTAGGAGTTTTTTTCCATTTTTCCTTACAGAACTCTTCTAGCTCAGAAATGTGTTTAAAGATCTTTGAATGTGCTATGTATTGGAACCTCTCCATAGATTGTTGTCTTACTGTTTTAGTTTTAATTTCTTCACTGGTTGAGTTTCTAGATATTGATATTTGATTGATCCATCCCTTCTTCCATTTGCACAATATTTGCACAATATTTCCTGTGCCGCATACTATAACTTCAAACAATCTTGGGCCACCTCTGTGCTTAATGACTGACAAACGTTCTTCAAATGTTTTGCCCTTATTTTCCAAATATATATTTTTTGTGGTAGCAACTAAACAATTCAATTTTTGTTTCATCAGTCCAAAGTATTTTGTTCCAAAGAATTTCTTGTTCATTAAGACATTATTTTGCATACTTTAGAAAATTATTTTTGTGATGAGTCTGAAGGAAATGTTTCCTTTTGACAATTCTCCCACTGTTGTATAAACATTATTGGATGGTAGACAAGTACTTCAGTGTCAATTAAACTTCACAGCAGGGCATTTCTGGGTTCTGCTTGACAGAATATTCTGTACAATATTCCTCTGCCCCATTCTGAAACTGTTGTTCAAGGAAAGGCTGGCCATTTAATAAAATGTGAAGAGGCTGAAGCCCAGATAGCCATGCAAAATATTCAAGAAGTTGACTTTGCTTTCCTGCATTTCACCCAAGCAGAGCTGACCTGTGTAAGGCAGTTCTCAGCTGAGAAAGTTTAAGGAGTCTAAGGTGGCTAGAGATTTTGTTGGGAGACTTTCTTTCTGGAGTGCTTACAAAGTCACCTTTGTTTTGGCATAGGTGACATATCCTTTTATGCAAAGCAAGATAAATAACTTTCTCCTTTCATCCCCTGGAGGAAGGAAAAGATTCCATATAGGTTCTATACCAATCTGTTATTGTTGAGCTGTAAGAGGACAGGAAAGTTCACTCTGAGTTTTTCAGTAAGGATAAAGTAATGATATAAGGAGAAGGTTTTGTGAAATTTATTTATTTATTCATTGATTCGATTTGCATGGCTGCCCATCTCAAACCAGTGACTGAGTGCTGAACAAGCATAAAAACAATTAAAACAAGATAGGATGGGAGGCTTTCCTCTTCAATTATCTGTCATTCATGTTATCCCACCCCCTCCAGAGTTTTTCAGAGAGACAGTCCAATCCTTTGCCTGGCTTGAATTCCTCATCTTTTCTTAAAGGTTGCGCTCAATTGTGCATTGTTGTTGTTATTGCTGTTGTTAAATAAGACAGCATTTACAGAAATCCCCTGTCTTCCTCACTCAGTCTTTGTATCACCTCTGCATTCTCTATTACCTCATTTTGCTCTGTGTATGGATCATGCTATTTTAGTATCCTTCTTTGAGGGGCTGTCATCTTCAGTCTTTCAAACAACAACACTGGTTTTGAGACTATTTTTGCTCTTTTGAAGTAGATTTTTCTTCTCCTTTTTTCCAGAGAGAGGTAATTGACTTCTGTGACCCAGACTTTTTCATTCTTTTGCCAGTAATCATTCTTTTTCTGGGAAAACAAACCTAAGCCACCATTAGACTCCATAATTGAGCAGCAGTTTTTTAGCTTGCACAGAGTCTTTCATCATGAAAACCTTTAAGGGTTGGTTATTTATCAAGGTTACCATTTACCTCAGAGGACAATTTTCTGAATTTCGGTTTCTTGCACCGTAGGACAATTGGGATGAAAGAAAGATGCTCTTGTGCTTAGCTGTAGCTAAAGGATAACATACCCCAGAGCACTGCTAATTTTATCCTTCCATAAGTGTCAGGGTTCAATTTGCAGCCCACTTTAATAACAGAAAATCATGTCAAATCAGTGCATAATCCTGCACATTATTTACACATGGAAGCTCTGCTGCAATCTTGAATGGCAATTCATTTTTTGTCATTGATACAAATGTTTTAGCACTCAGACAGAAATTGGCTGATTTATTTAAGAGCTATGGGATAATTGCCCAGATTCCAGAAGGCAGGGGTAGGAGCAGATTAATTTGATGAATGCTACATTTTCATCTACCCAGATAACTTTTATGCTAAGAATTAAATATAAAAGAAATTGATTCTCATGTTATATCTGTGTGTGTGTGTGTGTGTGTGTGTGTGTGTGTGTGTGTGTGTGTGTTTACCACTAAAGATGTTTGGACTTCCTAGTTATAAGAAAGAGATTGAAATATTTTCAGTGCCTGGACAACCAAATCTGCATGTAAGAGGGCATTGCTCTGGGTCAGTGGAAGTTTAAGTTGAGAAGAAAAAATTGTGTTATTCATCACTGTTAGTTTTTAATTTTTGTAATAACAAGAAAGCTGCTCATGGATAGCAATCTCATGTATTCTGAAACAAAAGATTAAATGAGATCCTTTTTCCTTAAATTGTACTTCTGGGCTGCATCCAACATTGCCCAAGCAAATCTTCATTCATGCATTTTTCATTCTTTTCTTCTTAACTGCAGCTTCCTGAACAAACTTTGTTTAAGAGGTTCCCCCAAATCCTTAACAAATGTGACTGTGTCTAAAGAGCCAAAGCTAAATGCCAAGAGAGTAGAATGACTAATGTTTTAAAGGCCACACAGAGATATTCTGTCCTTTCCTGTCCTTTTACATTTATTTGTTTATTTGGCCATCTAACTCTACAATAACTATGGGTGACATACAGCAAAAACAATCATATAAAAATCCAAATGACAGAAGAAAAATGACCATTAAAAGATCTCATCATGCAGGACCTGCCCTTTTGATAGCCAGGCTGGGCTATCAACATAACAATTTTAAATTGGGTTTTAAATTTAAATTTAAATTTAAATTTTAAATTCCTGGGGTTTTAAATTGAGCCGAATTCATTTAATAATTTTAAACTATTTTAACTGATGTTGTCTTGTGTCTTGTATCTTGTCTTGTGTTTTTAATAGGCTGTACACTGCCCTGAGTCCTTCTGGAGAAGGGGGGTATAGAAATAAAATTATTCTATTATTCTATTCTGATCTAAGATTTGAAGAAATAGACAGGCAGGGGTGAAATCCAAAATTTTTCCCTACCGGTTCTGTGGGTGTGGCTTAGTGGGCATGGCAGGGGAAGGATATTGCAAAATCTCCATTCCCACCCCACTCTGGGGCCAGCCAGAGGTGGTATTTGCCGGTTCTCCAAACTACTCAAAATTTCTGCTACCGGTTCTCCAGAACCTGTTAAAACCTGCTGGATTTCACCCCTGGTTTCAGGGCACTTGAATCCAGGTAAGGGGGTCAGAGACATCTTGAGAGTGGGGATGGGGTTACAGAGACAGGCACGCCAACAGAGAAGACATGCTTTATTCATCAGGTAACACGGGTGGGACCTGGAGCATGTCAACAGTGCCTAATCATAAAGTTGGGCAGAAGCCACAGGAGACAGATGATCCTTTAAATGACTAGGCCTTATACTATTAAAGGCTTTATTAAGAACTACTATAAATGAATGCATTCCTACTTAGTTTAAATCCTAATACCATAAAAATAGGTGCACACTCATTAACTAAGAGGAACACCTAAATATATAGAACATATGAAAGCAATGAAATATATAGAAGAATAATGTCTAAGCTAGTGGTAGTGTTATAGCCTCTAGCTATAGCTTTGGCTCAGAATCATCCCTTGTTGTAAATGTTTTAAAAATGCACAAAGGAAAACTAAGCAATTATTTTTAATCCATTTCTTTCCTTGTTAAAAGAGTATAAAGTTTTTCCAAGGAACTCAGAATAATCTATCAGGAAATCTCCCCATTTTATGTCCGTAAGGACTTTCTGAAAAAGGTTAGACTGAAAGCAGATCACCATTCATTATACTGAGTCAACCTTGAGCCAGTCATGATTGGATGCTTGGCTGTGGGCAAAGTTTGTGTCAAACACCCAGAAAATCAGGAGATTCAGACAGTTCAAATGAGTACAAAGATTTATTGCAAGCTTAAGTTCTCAACAAGAATTTGGCCAAGTGGCCATTAAGGGAAATGTGCGGGGGTTAAGAATAGAAAGGAATTCAAGGTGGCTGGACTTAGATCTCCAGCAGGCGTGAAGGGACTCATGACTTATAACACATTTGACCCCTCTCTCGGGCTCAGCCTGGTCATCTCCTATAGTTTCCTGCAATACTGCATTCTAACCACTGTGCCACCAGGGCTCTTTGAATTAAATGAGGGACTTGCTCATGAAGCATCACTATTTCAAAGACCAGGGATGATAAATGGGAATTTTCCAGCTCTGACTGGAATATGGTTGAACTAGAGAATGAGGCTGAAGAATTATGACAAGATTATCTAATAAAATATAAGGAAATGCTAGTCAACCTCAGCCTGACTCAACACCTAAAGAATCTTCCAAGACAGATTGTTGGATAGCTGCCAGTGTATTTGGAATTATTTATTTTTTATTTATTTTGATATTACAGCATTGTATTGTGTATGGCTTTAATTGTATTCTAATATTTTAATGACTTCTATAGTATAAACCTCTATGAGTCACAGGATTTGGCAGGATATATACCAGTGGTGGGTTGCCCCCGGTTTGCACCGGTTCTATAGAACCAGTAGTAAAACCGGCAGGAGGCTCCGCCCACCGACCCCGACATCATCAAAACGCTTCTGCGCACACACAGAAGAGCATGTGTGCGTATGAGCGAAGCAAGCATGTGTGCACAGCCCTGCTGCGAACCGGTAGTAAAGGTAAGTAGAACCCACCCCTGATATATACATAAAATAATCTGGAATGTCCCCAAATCCACAGCAGTGAACATATAAGTTGTATTGACAGCTGATTATTGTATCAGTTATATTGACAATCAGAGGGCGAGTCTTAGGAGACAATTTGAAAAATAAAAGAAAATGGGAACCTGCTGAAATTACTCAAATTAAAATGAAATGGAATGGAAGACAGGCAATAAAATAAAATACGATTATAAATAGTGTATATTTATATTATTTAGGGTTACACCTAATCACATTCTCTTCCACACGTATGTCTTCATTCCTCTCTTATTCCCTTCATGTGAAATACTGAATTTTGCTTGCATAAAATATATTTAAATTTTTTTTAAAAAACCTAACAATTGTCTCTAACTTTCGTCTGTCTTCGTTGATGTCTATACTGTTTCATAAAGATTTTACCATGACCAGTGTATAACAGCAAGGAACCTGGTGGTCCTGAACTATAGCTGGCAACCTTTGTCATCATTACCATGCTGAATGTATCTATGAGAATTGTAATTCAGAAACACCTAAAAGGTCACAGGTTCCTCATCCCCATATTACACTGAGTTAGTTAATTTGAAGTTACCAGTGGCATTTTTTTCTGTCAGATTTTTCCTCATTTCCTCCATAACTTTCATTTCCCCCTAATTATTGCTCTATTTGTTGAACTATTCAAAAGACAAAGAAAAATCTTATATAATTAAAGCAGAAATTTTTTATAGAATGTTTACAGAAATTTGTCAGTCTTAACATTAAATCAAAATGGTGCCTCTGAAATTTTCCATTATTGAACTGTGTTTGTTATTGCTGCATTGCATTTGTGGTCTACCTCATGAGGTTGCTGAAAGCCTCTTACCTTGCAAAAAGGCATTATGTTATTTTCAAATGTACCATGAAATATTTATAGGGACAAGCATTATGATTCTTTTGAACTCCGTGTGGAGGAAGCAAGTTCTACTGTATGTTGCTCTTGGGCTGATAGGGAGTGGAAACTGTAGTCATAATTTCAGGTTGGGATTTATACACACTGCAGGAGGCTTGTCATCAGATTTCAGATAAATGAAAGGAAAAAACTGTTATCTAAAGGCTAGACTAGATTTGACATTTATCACATGGTTAGCTAAGGCAAAGCATAAAAAAATGACAGCAAGATAATGAGAATGCCACACTGGAACCGTGGCAAGCAGATAACTGCCTCTTCACCTATATTATCACTTGGGAACCCTAATTTCTCTTCATACAACTTTTACTCCCCCACCATAATAAAAAGCTTGTATGGAGAAAGTCACCAACTGAATAATTTATACTTTACTATCATTTCATCATCATTCAGTTTTTGTTGTTTTATATTTTCCATCACTTTTAAACATTCCTGACTTTTTACATGGCCAATATTTTGAGTAGCTTTTGCACATTGAGGTATATATCTAGGAATAAACTTTTTTAAAAATTATCTTTAAGTCATGATTGGACAATTTGGAGCTCATGATAACTAATATTCCCAGGACATTCCAGGCGTTGACCACTCTGTTGTTGAAGTCGTATTTTCTGCAATCGAGTTTGGAGCAGTTTACCTTGAGTTTGTATTGAGCCTGTAGTACAGTGGACTAAAGCACTGTTATTAACAACTGCTGCTTGCAATTACTGCAAGTTCACCAGGCTCAAGGTTGACTCAGCCTTCCATCCTTTCAAAGGTAGGTGAAATGAGGACCCAGATTGTGGGGGCAATAAGCTGACTTTGTATAAATATACAAAAGTATGAAGGCTATTGCTTAACACATTGTAAGCCGCCCTGAGTCTCCGGAGAAGGGTGGCATATAAATCAAATTAAAATAAATAAAATAAAATAAAATAAAAAAATAAATGCTGATTTGGGAATTGGTCCTGTCTATTTTAATGAAAAGAAGGACTAGGGATAACATGATAGCAATGTTCCAATATTTGAGGGGCTGCCAGAAAGAAGAGGGAGACAACCTATTTTCCAAAGCACCGGAAGGCAGAACAAGAAGCAATGGATGGAAACTAATCAAGGAGAGAAGCAACCTGGAATTAAGGAGAAATTTCCTTACAGTGAGAACAATTAATCAGTGGAATAACTTGCCCCCAGAATTTGTGGGTGCTCCAACACTGGAGGTTTTTAACATGAGATTGGATTACCATTTGTCTCAAATGAAACAGGTTTTCCTGCTTGAGCAGGAGGTTGGACTAGAAGACCTGCAAGACAGGGCTGAAATGCTACCGGTTCGCACTGGTTTGGGCAAACCGGTAGTTTAAAAAAGCTCCCGGTTCATCCGAACCAGTATTTCTGACAATCAGCTGTGCTGCGCGATTTATATTCACTAGAAAGCAAGAAATCCTGCTTTCTAGCGAATCTAAATCACGTGGCGTAGCTGTTCCCCCCCCCCAGCTGTTCTACTTACCTTCAAAAGGGTCCTTTTTCCACGTGAAGTACGCGTTTGGCACGTACTGTGCATGCACGCGCACACAGCGTGAGTTTGGCACACACTGCATATGCATGCACTCAGTGTGCATTTGTTGCGCACCACGCATGTGCGGGCAGCCCGTGGAGGATTTCACCACTGCTCCAAGATCCCTTCCAACTTTATTATTCTGTTATTCTGATTTGATGTATTCTATGAAAAGCATATTCAGCATAATTTGGATTTACAAGAATGTGTTTGGACTCATATAGGGCCCATATGAGAAGTCAGAGGAAGTAAAGTTAAGACAGAATAGCTAGGTGTATACTAGTGGCAAGGCAGGTGTCAGCAGTTTTCCAGCTTGAGGGGGAGAAATTTGGCCCACAAAATCTTCTCAGAATCCCAAATGTTTCCAACAGTCCCAAAGATTACCAGTTTGGGTTTTAACTTCACCATATGAACCTCACTTTGTGGAAGACTGAAGAAAAGTATCATCAGATTTTAAAATGATTCAGCAGTAACCAAACAGAACATACACACACTCTCTCACACACAAAAAGCACCCATGTACATATCCCTTGTCTGAAATCTCAAGAGAGTCAAGATATTGAAAAATTTCAGTAGAGTATATCTAATACTGTGTTTTCCCGAAAATAAGACCCTGACTTATATTTTTTTTGAACCCTGAAATAAGCACTTGGCCTTATTTTCGGGGAGGTCTTTTTATTTTGGGGCGCGTGGAGCAAGACGGGGCTCCTCTTGCCATCTTACCTGATTTTCAGCTCTGTCTCTCTAACCCTAACTAGAGTAAATGGCGGGGACCGGTTGCGCATGCGTTTAGATATTTTCAGGAAGAGCTTATTTTCAGGGGAGGTCTTATTTTCAGGAAAACAGAGTATTACTACAGTAGAAAATAATTCATATAAAGTAGGGTGCAATCTTTTGTTCAGTATTTGGGTTTTTTTAGATATTTAATTTTTGACTCAAGCTTGAGTCAATTCTCAACTTTGGACAATACTTATAAACTGGAATAAAGTTTATTCTTGCTACTTAATAAATTTGATAAGGACCGTTGGTGTGTGTCAATATCCTCGGGAATCCGGAGGGGGGCAGAACACCTTTTGGGGGGGGAGTGATGCAGCATCCTTTTGTATATGTGTTCCTTTAAATCAGTCTTGACTCCTGGAGACTATATTAAAATCTCTGCAGGTTTCTTGACAACATTCTTCTTCCTAGGATTGGGAAAAAAAATCACTGGACCAAAGTCATCCAGCAGGCTTTATACCTTAGATAAAATCAGAACTTGCTGTCTTCTGGTTTATAGTCCAATATATTTAACATTAAACCAAATTGTCTTTCAGCCTCCTATTTACTATATTTGAAACCGTTTCTCAGATGATGCTTTGAGGAAAAAATAATTGTTTTGGTAATGTCTTGTTTTCTCAGTTTTGCCACATCAGTCATTCCTTTTGGTCATGTAAAGAGAAATATTATTAAATGCTCTGAATACACAAGTTTTATATTTAGGTGTTTTCAACGAACATATACTAAGGGAAAGATTATTTCTGGGAATTATATAGTCTGGCATCCTAAAATCCACTGAATTTGAATACAAAATAACAGCAATAGCATATTTCATTTTAAGTTTATAGATCAGGCCTATAGTTCTGTATGAGTTTCCCAAATATATATGTAAAAAGATAAATGTGTACTTTTTCATAAGATATGAATTAATAGATTTTAATTATAGTGCACTCTTCAATTAAGGTTTGGTTGAAAGCATAGAACTTTGTTACACTTCTGAACTGGTTTTTAGCCTTTTTGGTAACTGAAAGTTATTTGCAATTGTGCACAAATTACAGCTTGTGTGAACATTTATAAAACTGAAGATCCTGTGTAATTATAGACTTTGGATGATGGTGATAATGCTGCTGGTATCCATTTTCTCTTCTTTTTCTCTTCTTACTCTGTAGGTGAACAAACTTGAAAGGGAAAAAATCCAAGAAACAAAACGGATCCGGGAATTAGAACAGCGCAAACAGACAGTGCAGATCACTGAACTCAAAGCTAAACTCCATGAGGAGAAGATGAAGGAGCTACAAGCTGTCCGGGAAAACCTTATCAAACAGCATGAGCAAGAAATGTCACGGACGATGAAAATCAGAGACAGTGAAATCCAGAGACTCAAGTCAGCACTGTATGCATTGCGGGAAGGGAGTAGCGATAAAGTACGGACAGCCCTGAGCATTGAGGCTCGTGAAGAGGCCAGGAAACAATTTGACTCTGAGCGCCTTAAACTTTTGCAAGAAATTACTGAACTGAAGTCTGCCAAGAAGCAGGTGGATGAAGCGCTAAATAATATGATCCAAGCTGATAAGATTAAAGCCGGAGACCTCCGGAGTGAGCATCAGTCCCACCAGGAGGCAATCTCTAAGATCAAGTGGGAGAGTGAGAGGGACATTCGCAGACTGGTTAGTAACATATCTAAATATCCAGCCATGTTTATGACTCAATGTGCATACTGCATAACCTTTCCTGTGATTCTCATTACACTATATGCAAAGATTTTGATTGCCTACTTAGAGAGATCTGCCCTCCAAACCTACCATGCATTATAAGTATGTTATAATGCAAACTTCTGTGTGTATCAGAATTAGCCTGATTAGTAATATAAACATGAAGAAAACATATTAGTAGTTCATCTTTCCAACTGTTACCAGCACAGGATACTTTAAAAGTCAATACTCAGGCACAAAAATTGCACTGAAAAATAAGAGGCTGAGCCAAGAATAAGGATTCTAAAATAAAGAAATGTGACCATATTAGATAGAGGGGGAAAGCATACTGTGTCCACTAAAAAAAAAAAGATACAGTTATCTTCATGCATTTTATTGAACCAGTTTATGCTGTCATTGCTTTGTGCTGGTACGATACGCGTTTAGTGACAATAGCAGATTCTCCATGAATATTACTCAAAATCATATGAGTATTTAAACTAAAATCCACAATTGTGTACCTTCTTGTCTTCAAAATGCTTTTCCACGTGCCATTGAAGTTTTAGTCCCATGCATACTTTAGAAAAAGTGCCATGGAATTCTGCACAGTTGTATCTCAGAAAAAACAAATTTTGTTTCTCTCACAACTTGTATGTGAGATTTGGTGCCTGAGTTTTGAATGACTTGCTGTTGAGGAAATCTTTGGCGTTAAAACCAACAGTGTACTAATAATTTAAAAGTACTGGATGGAGAACCACATTAAAAAAAACCTAAATAAGCTGTATTTTCTTATAAGACATTAACCACTAAGCCAAATCTTAACCACTAGACCAGAGGTGTCAAACTGGCGGCCCATGGGCCAGATGCGTCACATGCAGATCACGCCCACCCCAGCTCTACGAAGGGGAAAAATGTCACGGTATATCACATAACGGCAACATGACGCCACGAGTTTGACACCTGTGCCAAACAGACCAAACTGGCTTTCCAGTTATATTTAAAAGATGTCTTGAAGATCTACGCAGTGTTGCCTGATTTTCTGCCTCCAGGAATAATTTATTTTTACCGAACTCCCATTTTGGTTGTTTTGTTTTGTGTTTTCTTCATGCTCTCATAAAATATTGACATATTTTTCCTATAGTGATCTTTGCCTGTTGTCACTTAATTATGTGGAAAGATCAGCTAGTGTACAGCAATGAACAATTGCTCATTAGAGACCTAAATAATTTATTTTCAGATTAATTTATTCACCCTTGAGACATGTCATAAGGTACTACGGTAGAAAGAGAAAGGCTGGACTACTCCAATTCAATAAACTGAAATACAGGAAGCTGATGGGTGAAATATTTTCAATTGCGTCTGTTCTAGTGCTGAGTTGAAATGGAGAGATCTATGTTTCATTAGCATAGTCACTGTTTTTGGATTGATTGATTGATTGATTGATTGATTGATTGATTGATTGATTCCCTGGTCAGGAGTCAAATCCCTTCACTCACTCAGGACCCTAGGCCTGAGTACACAACGAGGCCTTTACGGCCTTACAAAAGACCAGCAGTATCAGGGACAACCCAATCTCCAGAGGAAAAATGTTCCATAGGGCAGGCACTAGAGCAGAAAAGGCTCATGTTCTGAGCTCCATTCGACTGACATTTTTTACCTGATGGGATCCAGACAATGCCTATCCGGCTGGACCAGATATGATGTATGGGTATAGATGGTTCCTTAATTTAGCCCTATGCTTTGAAAGGTCTTAAAAGTGACTATCAGTACCAGGGGTGGATTTTACTTACCTTTACTACCGGTTTGCAATGGGGACAGCTTTTGAGGTAGAAGAAAGGAAATATGCCCCATTTGTTAAAACAAATAGGCCAGCTCTCTCTTATGCTGACCAAGCAAGTTTAATTGATTATTGGGGCAGGATGTGGGATGCCACTGTGCAATTAAGCAGAAAGTTCTTTGAATGAAGTGAAGAATACAGAGATAATATTTTCTGCAAGATATGTCTTTAAGTATATATGCCATTATCGCTATACCACTTGTAATGGGATCTCTATTTGTATGTGTCACCTTTCCACATTCTGCTTGGACTAAGTTGGACTATAGCAAAAGTACAATGCTAATCAGTAACTGTACTGCAATTAAGTTTAAAACTGGGAGTGTATTTCTGGTGCCCAACAAGCTGGATAATTGAAATTTCAGGAAATATGCTGAATGGCTTTAGAGCAGAAATGCTTACAGCTCAGCTAAACTCCTGCTTGGATTATATACATACGGTATTTTGGCTTCAGAATAACCTTAAAGTTGTATTAAAACTTTCATTTAATCTGAAACATAGCAGATAATATATTGAGCCCATTTCTACAGGAGCTAACTTAGTACTTAACTCCTATTCATGATATAATTAGTGATCTTTAAAGACCAAATAAATAAGCAAAAAAATGGGATTGAAGCATCTAAAATAATACCTCTATCAGCCAGAAGTACTGCTGAGATATTATATGTCAACCAGGAAAAATAGTGGCAACTCTGTTGTGATCATTTAATTGTGGACGACAATTGGAAATTTGTTAATTTAAACTCTGTGTGCCAGATATAAACTGGTATCTTTATCAGGGATTTTAATTCAGTTGATTTAAATTTGATATGCATTTTCAGATTTGAACACTGTATTGTACTATTAAGGGAATGACAGTATTTTTATCATTTGCAGTTTCTGCTGTAATTGTAGGATGGTATGTTTACCATGTGATCCCTGATTAGCTGGTATCACACAATGAATATATTGTTTCCAAGTGGGAATAATTGCTGGCTACAAGTATTGAAAAAACATGGAGTACTAGAAAATGGGAAATGAGATTTAAATAAATTATCTGCTTGGTTATTTGCTGCTAGTTTAAAGATGATTTTTTTTAATTTAGTATTTTATTTGTATACTTCATGGTTAGACTTGCAAGACAAGAAGGAATAATCCATATAGAACTGTTGTTACTGATCTTTTCAAATGCTAAAGCAACCTGTAACACCTTCATTTAAAAATGAAGAAAAAATGCCAAAATCAGCCCCAACTTCTGTGACTGAGAGCAGGGATGAAGATCTGGATTCAGCCCACTTAGGCATAAGTTTCCACTGAGAAAGATGTGCAATGAAGAAATGTGCATTGCAACATCATAACAAAATTATGTTGTAGTACAAAAGGATGGAGCTTGGGTCATAACCAGGGATGGTATTCACTTACTTTCCCTACCGGTTTGCAAATGTGAATGCGTGTGTGCCCAGCCTTCCGTGCATGCGCTTTGCTCATGTGTGCGCCTTCCGTGCATGTGCCCAGCCTCAAAAACATGCCTAAATAGGATGGCATATCCGGCATCCCGATATAGTCAGTTGACTCCATCACTGACTATTGGGGGCGAGTCTTTGGCCCCCATGGAGAGGGCGCGCAATCTGGGAGTCCTCCTGGATATGCAGCTGTCCTTGGAGGAACATCTGACGGCTATAGCCAGGGGGACCTTCTGTCAGATTCGCCTGATTCGCCAGTTGTGGCCCTTTCTTGATCAGGATTCCCTGTGCACAGTCACCCACGCCCTCGTCACCTCGCACTTGGACTACTGTAACACTTTCTACATGGGGCTCCCCTTGAGGAGCACCCGGAGGCTCCAACTGGTCCAGAATGCGGCTGCGTGGGTAATTACAGGAGCCGCCTGGCGCTCCCACATAACACCACTCCTGCATGAGCTGCACTGGCTCCCAGTCGTCTTCCGGGTGCGCTTCAAGGTGTTGGTTACCACCTTTAAAGCGCTCCATGGCATAGGACCTAGTTATCTTCGAGACTGCCTGCTGCTACCGATGACCTCCCACCAACCTGTGTGCTCCCACAGAGAGGGCCTCCTCGGGGTGCCATCAGCCAAACAATGAAGGCTGGTGACCCCCAGGGGGAGGGTCTTCTCTGTGGGGGCATCTACCCTCTGGAATCAGCTGCCCCCAGAGATAAGGAGAATCCAAGACCTTGGTGCCTTCCACCGCGCCCTTAAAACTTTCTTTTTTCAGCAAGTCGGGCTGGCTTAACATATTTTTTGACATATTTTTAATTTTTAATTGGTTTGTTATCTTAAATTGGGGCCAAATTAATATATATCCTTTTATTTGTTTTTAATGTTTGTATTGTATGTTTTTATCTGGCTGTACACCGCTCTGAGTCCCTCGGGAGAAGGTGTGGTATATAAATTCGAAATAAAATAAAATAAAAATAAAATAAAACTGGGATGGAATTTCTGCTACCGGTTCGCCTGAACTGGTCCGAACGAGCTGAATACCATCTCTGGTCATAACATCACAATGCATATTTCACTATGTCAGTAACATCTTGGGTAGGTATAGATTCCATCATACTGCATCTGAGTTAAAACTAGCCAAGGATAGAAACATTCTGACAGCTTTATAGTCTCTCATGCTTGTTGGGTCAAAACACATTTTACCAAATTAAACATATTATAAATCAGGCCTTGATTCAAATATGTTGCTTCATTTTTGTAAAGCAGCTGTTAAGATTTCGAGTGCAAAATTCTATGTAGAAACTTCTGCAGGTTTTTTTATTTGATCTGGTGTTTGTTTTTTCTTCTCATCCAATGAAAATAATTTTCTTCCCCAGAATGTTCTGTCAATTGGGGACAAAATCAATAGATCTTTGAATCATCATGCAGTTTCTCTGATTGTCAAAGCTGGCCCTATCATTAGGCAAAATGAAGCCCCTGCAAAGAACAGTAACCCTGGATGGCCCTAATCCATCTTGCACTGGGCCACAAATAACTTTTAAGGCTAGGAGATTTCAAGGCAGATGGTTAGCCTGGCCAGCCACTCTGTGGGCATCACCCTGAGGTGATGCTTAGAACAAAGGTTAATGCAAGGAACTCAGAATGCATCACTCTGTGAACCTTCCTATAGCAGCATCTAAGGTGTATGTATTCTCTAAAAAATAAATCCTTTTGTTGCTCCCATTTGGAGTAGATATACAGGAGGGAATGAAAATGGCAGCTTGAGGCAGAAACTGCCGTGGGAGTGACAGAGATATAGTAATCTTGGGATGCTTCTGCTGTTTGTGGTAATCAATTATACAGTATCTAATACCTAATTCTAGGGTGATGCTAGTCTGAATTGAATGTGCCTATACCATTAGCAGGAATGGATCATAGTTAATCAAAATGATAAAAGATTTTGATTCTTAGCTCTTTTGTAAAGTTTGAAAGATCCAGATAACAAAATTTATAGACTTGTATTATGATTATGATTATTGATCAGAATAGCTTCTATTCAATGAAGCAGAGGAAGATTAGTCTATTTGCTTAATGAGCAATCTCTGACTGGCAATTTCAAATTGTATTCCTTCTGTATTTTCCAAACTCATTTTTCTGTGTTATAATTTATGGGAAATTCAACACAAAGCTCCCATTCTTGATAAATATCACCATAATTTCCATAATATGTGACTGCATTCTTAACTAGAAGAATTTGGCTTCTGCTAGCCAACACTGTGTCATACAGTCAATAATGGTTTTGGCTTTACCAAAAATGAAAAACAAACTACTGAGAGATTCACCAGTTTCGTAGAGCTGAGGATATCAAATGTAGAACTGCCATAAAGTCTTTCCTCATTTTTCTTGTTAGCTGAATGACAACCGGTAAATAAGAAAAGAAAAAAAAAACAGAAGAGAATATTTGTATCTCAGGGTTTATCTGTGGATTTCTTGGTGCTCTCTGGGCTTGGTTGCTTTTTTACCAAACTAGTAACATCATCCGTGCACTGATGATGTTACTAGGTTTTATCTATAGTGTAGGGGTGTTAAACTCACTGCCTGCAGGCCGGATGTGTTACACACTGACCATGCCCAGCCTGTTTTAGCAAAGGGGGGAAAGTTGCGATATGTTGTCACATGATGACAACCTGATGACGCGAATTTGACACCCCTGCTATAGTGGAACAGGGTTCTACTTCTCATATTTAACTCAAAATTCAGGTTCAAACCAGAATATTTTCAGAATGATGCTAACTGATCAGGCTGTTTCTCAAACCTGAGATAGAATGTATTTGGTGAATTAGGTGGTTTTTGCACCAAGCTACCTGTAGATGTTGCAGGCTTTACACTTGCCATGGATTTCTAATGTAAGGACAATTAAAAATTACATTTAAAATATCAACATACAGATTTGCTTGTTTATTTGTATTCTTTTGTGCCACTATTTGTGCCATGGAATATTACATTAAAACCAGTTAATGGTACAGACAAAATACGTAACTTAAAAATCATGTTTAATTTTAAATAGGTACAGTATATCCTTATATGCACTGAACTATTTTATGGTCTTACAGTTTCAGAGAAGAAATTGCTGTAACCAATGCTGTAACATACAGTATGAACCCTGAAGATCCATTACTTGCAAAATGTATTCAAATAAATGAATTCATGATTGAACTTATGCCATATCACTGTTCTCATGTATCTTCATTCAGATGGATGAGATCAAAGCAAAAGACAGAACTATCTTTTCTTTGGAGAAAGAGCTGGAGACCCTGACAGGATATGTTCAGAAGCTTCAGCTACAGAAAGAAGCATTGGATGAACAACTGTTTTTGGTTAAGGAAGCTGAATGCAACATGAGCAGTCCCAAAAGAGAGATCCCTGGCAGAGCAGGAGATGGCTCGGAACACTGCAGTAGTCCTGTAAGAAGCATGTTCTATTTCATCACACTGGGATTTTGATTGGGTCCGCTTATTGCATCATTGCTCTGCTTTCCATGAGTGGCATCTACTCATGAATTATACAATACTCCCTCTTGTGGTAATTCGTAGGCTGCATTTCAGTTCTGATTCAATTGTGTAGTTAATTCAAAACAAGAGAGGAGGAGGAGGAGGAGGAGGAAAATGATTGGCATTTATGCAGAACCTTTGAAACACTCAAACATTCTATATTCATTAACTCAACAGTTTATAAAAGGGCTTGTAAAAGCCTGCTGTTAATGTTCCCTTGTTGAAGATCAAATTGTACACTAAGAGTGTGACATAGAAGTTTGCCTAAAGCCACTTACTGATTTAGAAATATATGCTCACATTCTTGTTTACATAAAATACAATGTTATATGTTTAGGAAGGATGCACAATATGTGGTTCTCGAGACACTGATGACTTATATTTGTCAGTATTGGTTACTGATAGAAGAGAATATTTGTATCTCAGGGTTGACCTGTGGGTTCCTTGGTGCTCTCTGGGCTTTGTTGTTGTTGTGTTTTTTTTTACCAAACTAGTAACATCACCAGTACACTGATGATGTTACCAAGTATGGTAATGAAATATCTGCAAGAAAACAACCAAACTTAGGGACCACCAAAAACCTCACAATATTTGTTACTATTGACTATGTGTGAAGCCCATATTCAGGGATCTTCTCTTTCATCACTATGATGAGAGAGAACGTCCCTGAGGATGGGCTCCACCACGAGTCTGAAAGCTCAGAAAACTAAACCTTTGGTCCCAGTGACTGACACAGATTGAATCCTGCAATTTCATCTTCATTGTGATTCATAATTTCTGCCAAGGATCTCAACACTTGCCTATAAATAACATTGTGTCAAATTATTTTTCTTTGACAAACATTTGTAGGATCTACGTAGAAATCAGAAGAGAATGGCAGAACTCAATGCTACTATTCGGAAGCTTGAGGATAGGAACACTCTGCTTGTGGATGAACGTAATGAATTGGTATGGTCCCTTAGCAGTTTCTGAAGCTTTTATTTAATGTAAAATATCTGGGATAGCAATGTCAAAATCATAAATGATAAATAATATTGCAGAGGTGCATCAGCTGTATTCATACTTGTTTTTCTTCTGTTCAATCATATGACATATGCATGACATGGCCTCTCATTCAATGTTATGAGCAATAGTTAGGTTGGATTCTTACGTTAAATTTATTTTTTGGCTATAGATACTTAAACAACATTTCAGGAGAATAAGTATAAGAAAGTCAGAAGTGGCATTTCTTGCCATAATGAAGTCATCAATATTTTTAACTCTGATCAAACATGTTTCGTAGAGCCAAATGACATTATCATTATTTTAAGATCTGTAGATGGCATCTTAAAAGAAAATCAAAGCTTGAAATTCTACCCCTCAAACTGTGTTCTATTGATCTGATTCATATAATATTCTAAGCCATAGTTTGTAGTTTGTTTTGAAGTTAGTGTGATATATGAATCAACAGGATAACTTCTTGAAGAAATAATGTTTTAAACATTTCCATTCCAGAAACTATATAAATATATATATTTGTCAATCAAAATGTACAGGTAGTCCTTGACTTACAACAGTCCACTTAGTGACCATTCAAAGTTATAGCAGCACTGGAAAAAGTGACTTATGACTATTTTTCACATTTATGACTGTTTCAGCATTCCCATGGTCACGTGATTTACATTTGGATGCTTGACAGGTAACTCACATTTATGACGATTGCAGTGTCCCAGGGTCATGTAATCACCTTTTGCAACCTTCTGACAAGCAAAGTCAATGGGGAAACCAGATTCACTTAGCAGCCCTGTTACTAATTTAAAAACTGCAGTGGTTTCCTTAACAAATGTGGCAAGAAAAGTTGTAAAATGGGGTAAAACTCACTTTTTTTTTTAATTTGATTTATATGCCTCCCTTCTCCGGAGACTCAGGGTGGCTTACAATGTGCTCAGCAATAGCCTTCATCCTTTTTTATATTTATACAAAGTCAGCTTATTGCCCCCACAACTGGGTCCTTAATTTACCTACCTTAGAAAGGATGGAAGGCTGAGTCAACCTTGAGCCTTGGCGAGATTCAAACCTGCAGTAATTGCAGGCAGCTGGTCTTAATAACCAGCTTAATAACAGGGTGCCTTAGACCACTGTACTACCAAGGCTCTTAACAAATTTCTCACTTAGCAACCTAAATTTTGGGCTCAATTGTGGTTGCAAGTTGAGGACTACCTGTATACGTGTTAGTGGATGTGTGTACTATAGATGTGTAATCTATTTATCTAGTTAATTAATTAGCATTTTGTTTGCAGTTGAAACGTGTTCGAGAAGCTGAAAAACAATGCAAACCTCTTCTGGAAAGAAATAAGTGCCTCTCTAAAAGAAATGATGAACTCATGCAGTCGTTGCAGCGCATGGAGGAGAAACTTAAAGCAATCACTAAGGAAAATTTAGAGATGGTTTGTACCAAGAATTCAAATTTGTTCTGTTTTTTTAATCATTCGTTTGTTTTCAGTTCTTGGAATATAACTATTAAAGGAAATGCCATAATCGTATTTTGATAATAGCCTTTTAGGTGTCATAACAGGGTATGAAGAGCTGAAAGGACTAACATCCAGTCAATGTTATCCTGACTTTTAAAAAAATTGTAACAAAGAAAAAAGCAGAATGTATCATGCCCAACCAATATGGAGTGAAATAACTTTTCATTGGGTTGGTAGTTGGTTTTTTTGGGTTGTTTTTTTTAAAGATATTTTTCTTTATTTTAAACTGCAGCCTATTTCCTCAAAATGGCATAGAATTATGGCAACAACTTGAATCAAATTTGGAGATTCAGATTGGGGGGGGGTCTAGAAGACACCAAAAAAGAACTTTTTTAATCCTGGGGTTGTTGGTGCCCCACTTCAATTTAGCAAAAAGGACATGAGTTAGAAGGCACTGCAGTGATGCTCGATTCAAAATTGAACTTCTATTTCAAAAAAAAAAAAGATTGCTCTGGGATTCGTTTTCATTATTCCCTTAATTCTCCAGGGTTAACATTGCAAAAGCTATTTTTCTTGGAACCATTGAATTTTCTAGGAATTCAAGTGTCTATCTCTCGGATCACAATTTGTTTTTTTCCATTCCTGTTTTTTCATGTTTTGAAAGCCATTTGCTACAGTTTATATATAGGAATCAAACAGATGCAATAAACAATGGCCTGGATGATTTTTCTAGGGAGCCAAGCCACTATATCCTAAGCATTTGTATTTAGAAGTCCCACTGAGTTCCATTTTGTCTATTTGTTTATAAATACACACAATATCCATAGTTGAATGCTCTGCTGAGTGTTTTTCCATAAAGAGACATGTATCTTCCCTTCTCTCAACACATCAGTAATTTAAAACCATGCCATGGGGGGGGGGGATAACTCTAACATCTATAATTCAATGTTTAAGATGGGTGGAAAATAAAATATGAGAAATAATATAGTATAATATCCAATCAAGTAAAAAAAATTAAAAAAATCTAAAAAGAAAGCTGGCTTTCCTGTTTTATTTTTATTTTTTTGTTGTATAGAAAGAAAAGATGGTATCACATCCTCCTCTGAAGAAATTAAAATCGCTCAATGATCTTGATCAAGCAAATGAAGAACAAGAAACCGAATTTTTGAAGCTCCAAGTTATAGAACAACAAAACATAATTGATGAGCTGACAAGAGTAAGTTTATTAAGTCTTCATCAACTAAGAACCAAGAACCAAGATCTTGTAGGATTATACAATTTAAAAGAAATTGCATTATGAATAATATACTTCAATATAGCATTTTCTAAACTAGATGCTCTAGAGATGTGTCGAATTCTACAAAGTCCAACTAATGTGAAATACAGTCCAGAATAGACTTGTCTGAGCTTGCGAGATTAGGTGAATAAAACAAATTGATATCTGGTAAACTGCAAAGCAAAGTCAAGAAGTCAGCATCACCTCCATTTACAAGAATGGAGGAAATAGAAGTCCCCACAAATGCCTCAAGGCATTCTCAGGAAATAATATGGAAGGTGGCAATAATACAGTACTTTATTCAGAAATGCAATCAGAGTTTCCTACAGTTACAAGGTAATTGTATAGACCACTTTATGCCTACTGCAGGAATTCAGATTAAAGCATAATTATGGATATCTATCTCGCTTCCACATGAATTTATTGAATGAAGCGGACCCCACCCTCATTCTAAATAATTGGTGTCATATCAAACTGCTTTTGGTAGCAATATTATTTAAAAACAAAAACTTTTTTTATTATTTAAAAACAAAAATATCCTTTTGTAATTTAAACCCATTATTTCATGTTCTGTATTCTTGAAATAAGGGAGGGAGGGAGGGTTCTTTGTAAATTTCTTTTCTGGCTTCTCATCCATTTTCAAATTGATAATATTGTAATTCTTACCTTTAAAATTGCCTTTGTCTTGTCTGCCTCTCATTGATCCCCATTCACCTAATGATGTCATTCATAAACCAAAGGGGTGAACAGAAATTGGAAGTATGAAGATTTACAAATAAATCTCTCAGTAGATTTGCACTAGGTTGGCAAAAGTTCCTCCTTCCAGCATTAATAATGGCATTCAATGAAAAAGTCACTTTTTATCAACTGAAATGAAGAATGGCTCAGTGTTTGTGGATGAAACAACAAAGAGTTTTGATCAATTAACAATGAGTTTTGATCAGTTAAAACAAATACTAGAGCTGTGATATATTCAGAAATCATTAACTGAAGTTATATAAATCATTATTCTTTCGTCTGATGGATTTGGTCTCTGGAAAAATACAGAATAGATCCTAGGAACCTGAAGTTGACCCATTCTTGTCTAGAATTATTCCATACTTATTCTGTAAGTAAGATTTCCAAAGAAATTCTATATGCTACCTCTTTTATTTCTTTCAGATTACCTTTCAAAAGCTTTTTTAAGAGGCCTTGGAAATAACTTCATGATGCTTATTGCCATATTATAGCTAATAGAAAGGATGGGTTAGTGGAATAATCCTAACTCCTCCTCTTCTGATTTGCTTCTATTTGTGTTCTGTTCAGTTCAAAAAATTTCCATGGAATTGGGACTTGGAATGAATAAATGACTCAATCAATCAGTCAGATGAGTGAATGGTTCAGTCTCATATGTCCATTTAATATCTTCACAATCACATGAAGTGTTAATACCTCAATATCAAATATAATGCCTTGATAAAACCACACTTGCAATATTGCAACCAGTTTAGGTCACCACAATATAAAAAAGATATTGAGACTCTAGAAAGAGTGCAAAAAAGAGCAAAAAAGATGAGGGGACTGGAGGACAAAACATATGAGGAAAGATTGCAGGAACTGGATATGTCTGTTTAATGAAAAGAAAGACTAGGGGTGATATGATAGCAGTGTTCCAAAGCTAAGGGGCTGCCAAAAGAAGAGGGGTTCAATCTATTCTCCAAAGCACCTGAAGGCAGGACAAGAAGGAATGGATGGAAACTTATCAAGGAGAGAACAACCTAGAAATTTCCTGGCAGTTAGAACAATTAATCAGTGGAACAACTTGCCTCCAGAAGTTGTGGATGTTCCAACACTGGAGGTTTTTAAGAAGAGATTGGACAATGATTTGTCTGAAATGGTATAGGGTTTCCTGCCTGAGCAGGGCATTGGATTAGAAGACTTCCAAGGCCCCTTCCAACTCTGTTATTCTGTTATCTTTGTATCCTGAGTGGTAACTGTTTCTTGGTTTTCTTATTTAGGATAGAGAGAAACTTATTCGACGGAGGAAGCATAAAAGAAGTTCAAAGCCAATTAAGGTAAATGAAGTTTACATATTATATTGAACCGCACTAATATATTAAATTATATTTCATTTCCAATTCATGAAATTACTCTATTCCATGCCCATTTCTCAATACATTCAGAAGGAAAGGTATTAGGCCTCGTAGAAACCATATATGAAAGAAAGAAAGCATCTGCTCAAGTAACAATAAATCCAGCTGTGCTTATTAAATGATGGAGGCAGGAAAACTAAACCAAAAGACTATCATATATGTAACTCATTGCCAATTTCTTGCTAACATGTGTGGTTCTGCAAGATGCAAAACTGACTGTAGACCATACTCTGTAAGGCTTATCTTTTATGTGAGAACAAAATCATAGTAGTATAAGTGTGATTTAAATTCTCATTGATCAGACTTCTTCATGACTCATTTTGGCAAGTTTTAAGTACTGAAATCATCAGTACTTTGCTATCCAACCTGCTGATTAACCAATTCTGTCAGCTTGGTGCATGACTCATTTTCTTGTTTGATGTTGCTAATTAACTTAGTCAGTCTGAATACACTAAAGCTATTTTTAAATCATTGAATTGTAAAAGGGGGATCCAAAAGACAGCAGCTATTTTCACAGCATTGCTTGTAAGACCTATAAATGATGTTGCATAACCAAACAAGCAAGCTTAATGAGGAAGCAAATGGTCTTGGGGAAAAATCCTTCCTTGTTTATTTGCATCTCAGTTTCCTTTGGTTTCCTAAGTCAATTTATTTATTTATTAGTTTGTCAAATGTGTACATGATAGCAGGTATGAATATGAACATGGACATGAATGAAGGAAATGAATACAAATAAATGGGGACAGTAGGACAGGGATGGTAGGCAAGCTGGTGTGCTTATGCACACCCCCTTTACGGACCTCTTAGGAATGGGGTGAGGTCCAAGGTAGACAGTTTAAGGTTGAAGCTTTGGGGGTTTGAGGATGTAACAACAGAGTTGGGTAGAGCATTCCAGGTGTTGACCACTCTGTTGTTGAAGTCGTATTTTCTGCAATCGAGTTTACCTTGAATTTGTATCGAGCCTGTAGTACAGTGGACTAAAGCACTGTTATTAACAACTGCTGCTTGCAATTACTGCAAGTTCAAATCTCACCAGGCTCAAGGTTGACTCAGCCTTCCATCCTTTCAAAGGTAGGTGAAATGAGGACCCAGATTGTGGGGGCAATAAACTGACTTTGTATAAATATACAAAAGTATGAAGGCTATTGCTTAACGCATTGTAAGCCGCCCTGAGTCTCCGGAGAAGGGCGGCATATAAATTAAAGCAAAAAAAAAAAAGATTGTTTCCCCGTGTATTATTGAGGTTGAAGCTGAAGAAGTCATTGACAGGTAAGATGTTGTAGCAGACAATTTTGTGTACTATGCTTAGATCAGACCGTAGGTGGTGCAGTTCCAGATTGTCCAAGCCCAAAATGTCAAGCCTGGTGGCATAAGGGATTCTATTGTGAGTAGAGTAGTGGAGTACTCTTCTCATAAAATACCTCTGGACCTGCTCAATTGTATTAATGTCTGATAAACTGTATGGATTCCAGGCAGACAAGCTGTATTAGAGAATTGGTCTGGAAAAGGTTTTGTATGCCCTAGTTTACAATACAATGTTACCAGAGAAGAAGTTTCACAAAATTAGGTTAATAATTCTTAATGCCTTTTTGGCAATGCTGTTACAGTGAGTGAAGTTGTTAGACTTCAACCTGCCCAAAGAGCAAAGTCTATCCTGTTGTACTCTGTAAAGGTCTTTTATTCAGAACCTTTGGAGTTGTGTCTACATTGTGAATGCCAGAATTGGCAGATTATGAATTTCGGCGACAAATTCCTGAAAATGATTAAGAAAATATATTCTTCCCAGACAGCGAGAATTATAATTAATGGAGATATGACCGAAAAAATAAGCATCCAAAAGGGGGTAAGACAAGGATGCCCGATATCGCCTCTACTGTTTATAATCTCACTGGAAGTCCTTCTAAAGGAAGTAAGAAAGGAAGAAGAAATAAAAGGACTGAAGATAAGGAATGAGGAGTATAAACTACAGGCTTTCGCGGATGATGTGGTCTTCATAGTGGAACAACCGGAAGTAGCGGGAGTCAAATTATTAGAGAAGATAGAGGAGTATGGCAAAGTGGCGGGGCTTAAGATCAATAAACAAAAAACCAAAGTCTTGACCAAAAATATGACAATGACACAAGAGGAAAAATTAGAAGAAGAATTAGGAATGCAAATTGCGAAGAAAGTAAAATATTTGGGAATTTGGCTTACTACAAAAGCAACAACTATTAGAGAGGACAATTACATTAAATTGATGAAGCAAATTAGAAAAGACTTGGAAAGATGGAATAAGGTACAACTATCATTTCTTGGCAGAATAGCGTCTGTAAAGATGAACATATTACCAAGACTCCTATATCTCTTCCAAGTGATACCAATTGGTCCGGGAAAAGATTTCTTTAAGGATCTCAATAAGACAATAATGAAATACATCTGGCAAGGAAAGAAAGCTAGAATTAAAATAAGATGCTTACAGGACACAAAGGAGAAGGGAGGCCTAGGTCTACCAGACTGGGAGCTATATTACAAGGCGGCGGCGTTGAATTGGATCAGAGAATGGATAGATCTATCAAATAGGAGAACGCTATACTTGGAGGGATTTGATCTGAGTCGAGGTTGGCATGCCTTTCTGTGGGAAGGCACAGACAAGCAACATCCGTACTTCCAGAGACATGTAATAAGAGGTGCACTATATAAAACATGGCAAGATATCAGAAGGCAACACTATAGTAAAATCCCATGATGGTTGTCGCCTATGGAGGCGCTAATTTATCCAAACACTATAGAAATAGGAAAGATGCGGAAATATCAAGAATTGTTGAGTAGTGAGGGAGACCTACTTACGAGACAAGAACTGGAAAGACAAGGCATTATGATTGATTGGTGGCCATATCTTCAAATTGAGTCAAAATATACAGCAGACCAGAGACATTATGATTTTCAAAGCCAACCAAGTGAACTAGATAAAATTTTAAAAGGCACAGATGAGAAAATAATATCTAAAATTTATGGATATTTAATAAGGTATAAATTAGAGGAGGAAACAGTGAAAGAAAACATGGTAAGCTGGGCAAGAAATATAGGTCACAATATAGAGTTGGATAGATGGGACAAGCTATGGGCAGAAAATTATAAGATGACACTGTCGATTCCATACAAAGAAAATTTATACAAGATATTTTATAGATGGCACCTTCCTCCGGCACGTTTGGCTAAAATGTTTCCAAACACATCACCAATGTGTTGGAAGTGCAAGACACAAATGGGGACATATTACCATCTCTGGTGGTCTTGCAGGAAGGCACAACGCTACTGGCAAGAGATTAAGAGAATAATCGAAGAAACTACGAGGCAAAGTGTAGAAATGAAACCAGAACTCTTTCTATTTGGAATGACTACACCACAGTGTACCAAGGAAATAAAATATCTTACCATCCACATATTGACAGCGGCACGTATAGTGTACGCTCAGAATTGGAAATCCGAGATAATACCAACAGAAGAAAAAATAATAACAAAAATAAATGAATGCACAGAGATGGATAGGCTCACAAAAGAGCTCCAAGATAAAGAGAACACTGACTTTTATTTAGTTTGGCAAAAATGGTACACATGGTTAGAAAGAAGGATAGGGCCAACAACATAGGACATTAGGAGAACATAACTCAAGAATTGTAGAAATAGATACATGAGATGAGCCGTAGGATTGTATAAATAAATGGTTAATATGTTTGTAGAAAGATACTGCTGAACTTCAATGAATATATCAAGGTATAAGCAAGTGAATTTGTAAATAGTATGATTAAGGAAAATTGGTTAAATGGACATTAATCACCGATGCGAAGGTTTTCTAGAAGTTAGTCGATTGACTCTTTGTTAATGTATAAGTGTTTACATGTATTTGTGTTTTATGTTTGTTTATGTTAATAAAACTTAAAAAAAAAAAAAGTGAATGCCAGAATTGGAAATGAGGAGTAGAAGGACAAATTGTCCAAGGGTAATATATCTGTTTCTTTTCTGCAGTCATCAGCAGAGCCATTTGGCTAGTTTGCTGCCTTCAAATTCTAGGTTTTCATAACAAAATAGGGTTTCAAAAATCCAGATAATACTACATGGAAGAAAAGAATGATGGGTTCCTGTATTTCTTTGCTGCCATTTTGTTGTCATCCAGATGAAGCATCTCCAACAAATACCTGACTGAGGACATATGATGGAGTATTATCTGTGCTAGAAAACTAGGCTGGTGGCAGAGTTAGAATGTTTGGCTTTTTTTACAGAGGCATGTTCTGGACACAGTTTATGGGGGTGATGATGACTCTATGGACTCTGAGACATCATCCATGGCTTCATTCAGGACAGACAGAACACCAGCAACACCAGATGAAGATCTAGATGAAGTAAGATTTTCTTCCCTATTTTTATGAAGTTTGAATAATTAGCAAATGTGTATTATCCCTTTCAATTTCTTGTCGCACCTGTTGTTGTCGTTTTACATAATGTCCTTCAAAACCTCCATCTGAACCTCCTCCAATTCCTCTTTACTTTTTTTCTAGAAATTCCCTCAATTTCTGGACAGAATTCAGTCAAGAAACTATGCTCTTTAAAAAAAAATCACATCTTCCAATTTGTCCCATCAAAATGGACAAATGGACAAAGTGGAACCTTATTTTGCTTTAATTTCTCAGTCAAAAATACTTTTTCTCTTAAGCAAAATTCTAATAGGAATTTCTTTAAAAACAGCTGAATATGCTGTAAAACTTGGTCTTTTTCCTAACAAAGTGCATCAAAACATACCTCGGAAGATTTCTTATTCTTTCAAATTTTGTGTTTATTCTATATACTTTATCAATGTCTAACCTCTGTATCCTCCTCAAACCCAGCCAAAAATATTGGCAAAGTTTTAATAACCTTTTCTCAAATATCTTCACCAGAATCATTCTGGGTTACTCCAAATCTCAAACAAAATTTCTTCACTCTCTAAATTCCAATAGAAACAAGTTATCTTTCCTGTTTCACTTTCCAACACTCTTTTTATAATAGTGTCTTATTCTTCAAAATGTCCACTTTGCATTGATTTATTTTACAACTCCAGGCATTTGTTTTATGGAGTTTTCCATCTTCTCAACTTCTTCTTTCATCTCCTCTTCCATCTTTACAAATCTTTCATCCATTCTTTTTTCAAAAGCCATCAGTTTAGCATCAGGTAATTCAGCTAACTTACTGGCCAGTTGCTCAAATATTTTCTGAAGCAAACCTGGTGTAATCCCTCTCTCTGCAGGTTGCTCTAACAAGTCTCCTCTCTATTTTTGCCACTTTTCTGGTGGTTACCATTATGAATTATAATCAAAGAGAAAAGGCAAGCCCCCTCTTTGTTTTTTTCTGTTTTGTGTTTCTGTGCCTTTATTACTTTCAGCTCAAACGGAACTCCATAATTACAGTAAGCATCCTATTCTGGCTCAAATTACTTTTCCTTTGTTTTATAAAATCCACCAAGTGTTTAATAGTACGCAAAAAACATTCCACAAAGGATCTAATTCGTTTGTCAATTTAATTCCAATTAATTCAAAAGCACTTTACCAAAAACAATTTTTCAAAATAATTATCCTTTATGTATAAATTTATAGTCACTCCATCTTAAGCTTTTTGCAACTAGTCTTTAAAACCTTTTTAAAAACCATTCCAGAAGAAATGACTCAGCCAGGATTATTTTTTATCCTGCCACTCAGAAAATCTCTCTTTAGATGTAAATTAGTTACATCTGAAAGTGTTTAAGAAATTAGGCTAGTGCAAACCTTACGTTCATATAGGCTGCATTATGGCTGTGAGCTTAATTAAAATTCCACAACTCCCAGCCTCGCAATTCATAAGCTAATCACAAAAACCTTAGTCCTTGCAGTCTACTTAAAAGGAGTAGATATTCTGTGTGCAAGTGGGAGAACTCATGACCTCTCCTTTATGCGTCAGCCAGAATTCATGTCTGGCTGCTGATCTCTTCTTCAGTGTCTTCCCTGCTCCTTCAGAGACATCTAGTTCACCATGGCTCCTCACTGGAAGCTCTCTGCAAATGATTTCTTAACCTGTGTATTCCAGAATACAATATTTTGTTTTTCTAACATAATAAATTCCAATCTTATTGTGATACAATCTATTCTAATCAATCACACCCTGGTGAACCCTTCTTTATTCTCCTACCATTGGGAAGGAGATATAGAAGCATAGACAGCCACACAGACAGGCTGAAGAACAGTTTTTATCCATGGGCTGTCAGACTCCTGAATGAAAAATAACTCTACAACAACTTAGTATGATTGACTTGCGGGGCCGGTGCGGAGTGCAATAAGTTCACATGGTGCAATAGGACTGACTGGTTGTTAGTAAGATTCACTGGGCTAGGGATTTATTTATTTTTTTTTGTTTTTGTTTTTCACTGTGAGTTGTATTGTATTGGGGGGCGGGGTGCATGAAGGGAGTCTCAGCCAATCCCATTGTACACATGTTGTACTCTGACAATAAAGGTTTGAACTGAATTGTCTTACACATTCCATATTTTTACAATGCTACACTTAATGTTTATCTGAAACTTTATCTTTTTCAGAGTTTAGCAGCTGAAGAATCAGAGTTGCGATTTAGACAATTAACAAAAGAATATCAGGCCCTACAGAGAGCCTATGCGTTACTGCAAGAGCAAACTGGGGGTATAATAGATGCAGAAAGAGAAGCCAAGGTTGGTATCCGCCAAGGTCAACATAGCTGTCACCCAAATGCATTCCATAAACATGTATGTGTATCTATCCGCCTCTCTATCTTATTTCTAATTCATTCAAACAACCTATAGCAAAGCTACAAAAATTTCCATGCAATCGGATAACAGTAACACAGACAAATCATTTTAAAGTAATAGAGAGTAAGACATGCTAAGAGCTCTGTCATAGAAAAAGATGCTACTTGAAAAACACAGAGTAGAATGGAACAGGGTCTCAAAACTCAAAGTATTGCGAGAGTTACAAAAGGACCTTTTCATTAGCCCAAAGTAGCAATGTGGCTGCTTGCCAGAGGAAAAGAAGGAGCTGCAAATGAATTAAAGATAATTTAAAACTCAGAAAGTTTGATGAGATCTAAAAACATGATTAATGAAACTACTTTTTTCCCCCTTTTTAACAGGCACAGGAGCAACTCCAAGCCGAAGTCCAGAGATATAGAGCAAAAATAGAAGATCTTGAAAAAACATTGGCCCAGAAAGGACAGGTAGACACTTTACAAAATATGGTTTGTCTCAATTACTTTTAAAGTCATTAGAATTAGTTTGTTATCTAGGAAAGATACATTTTGCACATATGAATCAAGCATCTGAAAGGATGCCTGTAAACAATTAGAAATAAATATATAAAAGTATCTTGCTGTGTCTGAGAGAGAGATAACTGTATACTGTAGATGTCCTTGTGGGGATTGCAACTACTTTGATGCTTCCAATAATACCCAATAACAATTGTTTCCATTAATTTATCAAAATTATTGAATTGTTTTAACACTTTTTTTCATTGTGACAGATGTTTTAATCATAGTTGTCAATCGATTGAGCCATAGTTCAGTCATTTAGTGGATTTAATTTTATTCATGGTAATTTAAATTCATTTAATTTAATAAAACCGGTTAACAAAGCCATATATAAATATATCTTTATATTTTATTCTTTTTTAAAAAAATAAATAGGACTCACACTGGGTAGAAGATAAACAACTTTTTATTAAGAGGAATCAAGAGCTTTTGGATAAGGTATGTTCATGCTTCAATGATTAGAAAGGGGTTGCTAGTCTTTTTGTGTTGGCACATTTGGAATTCTCAGAAAACCTTGTGGGTATCCTCACAAAATAGCAATAGCACTTAGATTTATATACCGCTTTCACAGTGCTTTACAGCCCTCTCTAAGCAGTTTACAGAGTCAGCATTTTGCCCCCAACAATCTGGATCCTCATTTTACTGACCCTGGAAGGATGGAAGGCTGAGTCAACCTTGAGCCTGGCGAGATTTGAACTGCCAATTTGCAGGCAGCCAGCAGGCAGCAGAAGTAGCCTGTAGTACTGTACTCTAACCACTGTGCCACCACAGCTCTTAGCACTTATGAATAGCACTTAGACTTAGAAGACCACATTTAGAGTACTGCATCCAATTTTGGTCACCACACTATAAAAAAATGTTGCGACTCTAGAAAAAGTGCAGAAGAGAGCAATCAGGATGATTAGGGGACTGGAGACTAAAACATATGAAGAATGGTTACATGAACTGGGCCTGTTAGTCATAGCTAACTTCTCCCATTTATTTTATAAGATCTGTTCTAGGCAACAGTCCATTAATTACAAAATTCAAGAGTTGAAGAAATAATAAGTTCTAAATAATAATTCAGATTTTTATTGCACCATCAGACCATATGATTGAAAGTATCCTTTGTATTTTTGCACAAGGATCCTTCAGACTGCTCACTTTTCTCAATTGCTAATCTTTATAATATAAATATAAGTATAATAATGTAAAATTTAAAAATGAAGGTGCAGAATCATCAAAAATAATATGCAAAATTATCCTTTGAAAGTTTACTGTCTTAACCACAAGTAAACAATGAATTCCCAAAGTTCTGAATCAGCAAATATGAATCCTTTTGTTATTTGCCAAGTTGCTTTTGATGTATTCTTTCCATAATAAGATAATTAATTAATATATGAATTATGACTTTTGTAGATGTTATGCTTCCCACAAAAAAGCTGAAAATAACATTAAAATAACTGAATAGCTTGCTTCCTCGGTGATTGAGACTTGTAGGAGGGAGCAAAAACAGCAGTGGTCATAAATGTCTAAACAAGTATGTCTTGGAATCATTTCCACAAATTATATATTTAGATCTTTTTCTAGATAGAAAAATTGGAAGTAGAGAACAATCGACTGCAACAGGAGCTGCAGGATGCCAGAGATCAGAATGAACTCTTGGAATTTCGAAATCTAGAACTTGAAGTAAGAATTTGCTAATTTTACTCTGGGGGACTAAGCAAGGGTGAAATCTAAAATTTGTTACTATCAGTTCTGTGGGCGTGGCTTGGTGGTGGTGGTGGGGTAATGTGGGTGTGGCTTTTTTTTTTTTTTACTTTTAAAACCATTTTTTCTACAACCTCTTTAGCTAAGAGGTTATAAAAAAATGCTTTCAAAAGGCTCTGATGATCCAAGCTGAGTTCCCTGAAAGCCTCTGCCAATCAGGGAACAAGGCTGGGATCATCAAAGCATTTAAAAGAAAAAACCCTTTTTTTCTTTTAAATGCCTTTGACGAGCTGCGCAATTATCAGAGGCTTTTTTTTTTTTTACTTTTAAAAGCATTTTTTCGGCCGAAGTTGTAGAAAAAATGCTTTTAAAAGTAAAAAAAACCCTCTGATGATTGTGCGACTGCTACCGGTTCTCCGAACCACCCGCTTCCATCTCTACTGGATCGGGTGATCCGGTCCGAACCAGGACCATTTCACTCCTGGGACTAAGGAGCATTTTAAAGGAGAAAATATTCTTGCAGTCATATGTTGTTCCAAATATTTTCTTTCATATAAAATAACCTGCCCTCCATGTTTGACTGCATTTTGTATTTATCAATTAAGTTAATTTCTTATTTTACAAAAACAAAAACAGATTCAGTTATACTAAAGGATAAGAAAACTGAAACTAGCTTGCATAATCTTTATCTTTTTGGCTGGAGGAATTTAGAATGGGTCATAGGCACTTGAGTCTCAAAACCGCTGCAATGAAACCTAATGTGGTAAGCCATGTTGTATAGTTAAGCTGTTGAGCCCCGAGCTTGCCAATTTGATTGCAAACATTTTGTCACCATTCAAGGAGACATCGTCAGTATGTTTTGAATTGTGCTCGTCTGTCAGAACACAGGTCTTTAAATACCTTTTTGTGTGATGCAAAGCACTCTGAATATTGTTTGTTCAGATATTTCTGAGTCATGCTTTGATTTCGAACTGTTTTATTGGCTGGCTGTTGTTACTGGGCTATAGTTAAGTATAATATATACTCGGAGTTCAAACCAACAGCCTAACTACCAACCCGAGCTACTAATATTCAAACACATTTCAACCATGTTGTACAGTGCTTAAGATATTAGATTAGACTAGGAACATTCAAGTTCAATTTACCCCTAGCCCCTGGGTGATTTTGAGATAGTCACAGTTTTTTAATCCAAAATAATTTGGATGATTATTTAGAGATAAAAGGAGTGATATTAGGCTATTTTAGGTTTTTGAAGTCAAGGAATGGGGATGAGATACATACAAATTGAATAAATTATGCAAGTCTATTCATAAAACAGTTATATATAGTAAAGTGCAGAACATGGGAAAAAATTTCCATGGGTGAGAAATAAATAGCTCTACCTTGGAACCAAAAATATTTCAAATGTTCTGCCATGGGACAAAGGGAATTGAAAAAGATAGATCACTCATAGGCAAACATATCTCCCATTCTGAATTTAAATCTAATAAAATAGATTATATAAATCTAATAAAATGAAAATGAAATGAAAGAAAGACAACCCAACCAGGGGCTTGCCAATGCTTAAAGGAACATGGAATAAAGTCCCCTAGTTTATCCTGAGCTCAGAGTAAAACCTCAGAAAAATAAAGATACAGGATGTTTTGTTCTGAGAAAAAAACATCTAAAGCAACCAGGTCAAGCTCAGAACCTGGAAAGGTTCTGAGAACTGCAACAATGAGAATAGGGATAGCCAATCTCAAAACAACATTGTTTTTAGAAGTAAGTGTAACTATAAAGTGCAACTTGTCCTAAACCCTAAGTATGGCAGAAATTTTAACCAAAAGAATATTCTTTCTGAATCAACTAGGTTTTGCTCCAAAAGCAAAATACTTTTCAGGGGGGGAAATCAAACAAACAGAAAGTGTTAAATGTTTTACCTTATCTTTTGTTTCAAGGAAAGAGAAAGAAGATCTCCACCTTTTAATCTACAAATCCATCCATTCTCTGATGGTGTAAGCGCTCTACAAATCTACTGTATGAAAGAAGGTGTCAAGGTATGTTAACATGAGGTTATTAAAAATAATTATGGTTTTTTAGTATGTGACATCATATATCTTGGTAGTTTTCAAAACATGGAGGGAGAGGGAATAGGGGATCAGTTCTGTCCTTCGCCTACAAACATTCAAGATAATATGTTTATAGAAAGCTTGTATAAATAATCTATAATTTGCAATTCAAGTTAAAACTTAAGTTCCATGCATAGAAGCAGTGGTGGGATGCTGCTGGTTTAACAACCGGTTCGGTGATCATGCGTTTTGCGCGCACACAAGCGTGTGCACCGTTTTACAAATACTAACCTTCTGTGTGACCACTTGGGAGTAACACAGCTGAGGCACGGCAATCTGCTCTGCTGCGCCAATCAGCTGAGAAGATAAAGGTAAGTAAAGCGCAGGGGCGGGTGGCCAGGCCGACCTGATCGTCAGAGTGAACCAATTCGCTCCCAGCTGATCATCAGAGCTACCGGGTCGTCTGAACTGGTCCGAACCGGTAGAATTCCACCCCTGCATAGAAGACTCTTAAAAGTACAGAAAATGGGCAGGTTGTAATACTTCTTCTATTGTAGACTGAAGAGCAGGCAATGTTTTTGTTAACAAAGGATATAGAGCCTATAATTTTGAACACTCTAAATGTGTTGCCAACAGTTTTACTGTACATAATCCATTCTTGATTCATTGTATACATGCAAGAATTCAAAGCAGCTTAACCATTTATACCTACTGATATTGTCCTCTGTGCATTGTTGAATTCAAAAGGCCTTCTAAGCAAATTTATAAAATCTATAAAAGATTATAGTGTTGGTGTCTTGCATAGAAAATGGAAATATGTAATGTTCCTTGAAGTAAAAGTGGCAATAGAGAATACAGAGCCATGCTAGAATTCTGATTAACATTCTATGTTGGCTAGCATTGTCTACTCTCAATTACAGGAAAACATTTGATACCATTCAGAAATGGAAATTTGATTACCAACAAATATATAGTGTAGTCTGAATATTAGAAGATATTAATGTTAAATGTTTTTTGTACAAGTCTTAAAGTTGTAAAGAAATGTTTAAGAACCAGTCTAGCTATTTTTCTTCCTCCTCAATGTTAGATTTTCTATACACTAGGCCTCTCACACAAATATTTTTCACTCCATAAGACGTTCCTGACCATAAAACGCACCTGAGTTTAGAGGAGGAAAACAAAAAAAAAAATCTGCCTCTGCTCCCAGCATCCATGCAGTATTCATTTGACTAGCCGCAAACAGCAAACAGCCTGCCTCCTCCGTGTCTGCTGCCTCCGCCAGGGAATGCTGGAGCCTTTGCCTCCCAGCAGCTAATTGGCAGTTGGATTGGCCTCCTGGAATACCGCCAATCAGCTGTTCCAGGCGGTGGGGATCGCTGCCACCGTTTGCCGCTGCTGCCTGTCGCTCATATTCGCTCCACAAGACGCACAGACATTTCCACCCACTTTTGGGAGGAAAAAAGGTGTGCCTTATGGAGTGAAAAACATGGTACTTCTTCATTTCTTTTCTTTTGCTAGTACCCCATGTAGATGGCTGTACATTAAAGTCTTCTCCACCCATTTTACGATGCTTTGAGGCCTTTTCTGCTCCTTCACTTAGGAAATATTAAGTCATTTCTAGATCATCAAGTCCATATTATAAAATAGATACTGTTTATGAAAACCTTTGCTCCTTCTTTTCTGAATTTTATCATCTCTTTTATAGGATGTTAGCATTCCAGACCTTATAAAGCAGTTAGACATCTTGGGTGACAATGGGGTAAGTGATATGGATAGCTAACAAGGTGTTTATAGCACCTAGAAAATATGTAGTATTGCAGAATAAAAGATCAATCAAAATAAATGAATTTCATTCATTATTCCTCCCTGCTCCATTATTCCCTATTTTTATAAATAAAGAGTTTATCCTGTTTGAATTATCTCTAAATGGGCTACTAAGATAGTATTCTATAGCATTTGTGAAACTTTTAAAATAAAAAACCCTGAAGGTTTCAGACTAGAATAGACTAGAATCAATTTCCCCAATCTGCTATTTACACATATATCTAGAAGACACCAAGTTTAGAAAGACTTGGCTTAATTCCTATGAATGTTGTTCTAATTTTTTTCTAGCCGATCACATATATTAACAGTTTATACAGATGAGACTTTTTTTAGGAAATCAAATTATTTGGGATGTTACTTTTAGATTACTTTTTTCCTGAAGTTCTAACTTTTATGGTTGGTTATCATTTTAAACATTCCTGACTTCGTGGTAAAATATATGTGTAAACACTACACTCACAGATTTTCCATTCATTTGGATGGAAAACATTTTCCCAGCTCTTGATATACAAAGAGCTGTTTCTTCTATTTAAGCAGTACCTCCATTGTGATAGATATTTATATTTTTACAATAAACATCAGCAGCTTTGGGTTACAAGGGCTGCAGGACTAACTTTAAAACCATAACAGTGAGAGTTTTGACTTGAATCTTCTCTCTTTATGCTTTTCACTTTTTACAATTAATTTTTAGGAATGTTATATACATTCAAAACTTAATGGACCTATTCTGTGGCTTAACTCCATGCCAAAAAGCAACAAAAAATCTCAGTGATTTTTCAGAGGGTCAAAAATGAAATTTGGGAATTGCTCATAGGTTGCTGGTTGGGAATTCCTGTCTAAATAAATGTGGAAGACTAGGAGTTTTGCAGTGTATCAAAATCCCTGCATCAAGAAAAGATGCACCAGAGCAAAACTTTCTGACGTTGACCAGATGTCTGCATGGAAAACTATTGCTGCTTTCTTAATTTGATTTTCTGCCTCTTGAATTTTCAGAATTTGAGAAATGAAGAGCAAGTGGCTATAATTCAAGCCAGTACTGTCTTATCTCTTGCAGAAAAGGTATTTTTAAATGTATTTTGTATCTCATGTATATTATTTAATATGAATCGAAAAGTTAACACAAGGTACAGAATTACGAAGAGAAAAGTGCAATCTGTGGGAATATATGTAATCTGTATGTGTGGTGTGAACAAATAAGAATGAAATGTTATCCAAAATGCATCTTTCCCCAAAAAGAAAAAGTAACTGGCTTTTATTATTCAAGTTGAACTTCCACTAAGGCAATCATTTTAATTTGCTTTATTTAACTCTTTCCAATATTAGAATGTGCAGAAATGAATAGGTTAACACTCGAAATTAAAGAGAAGGAATAATCTGATTATTGTAATATATGGGAATTATTTTATCAATGGTTAGAGAATAAATATGAAAAGTGGAAAAAACAGAGGAGTGAAATAAAGAAAATGTTTTGACGAAGTTAAATAAGTTAAGAAGAGGATTGTTATAGTATTAGGTAAGGTGTATATTAGTATTAGTATTAAGTTAGGAATAGATTAAAATGATAAATATGGCTGTAAATTGTAATTGTTATTGTATAAAATATTTGCACAAAATATATGTCCCCAGACAACACACTGTTTAATGGAAGATGATGTTTGAATTAAAATAAAATAAAAAATTTATTTAAAAAAAAACTTTTTCCAATTGTCGAAGTCACAGCTTGCTTTAGCCTGTTTGCTGCAGTCCATGTTCATGAAATCAGTATTTAATTATACAGATAAATGTCTAGAGATAAGAACTGCTTGATTAGAGAAATCTCATTATAAAATAATAAGAGAGCAATTAACGATACACTTTAGGTATGCCAGCTAGCTGGGTTTTTCTTTTAAGTAGAGGAATTATGAAAAATAGCATACTATGATGCATGCTGTAGTAATGTACACTAACTAGGTCAATCTGTACTTTAAATACAGGACAGATGTCTCTGAAGCCTATGGTTCCAAGTCTGCATATCTTTTAATAATAATACAAACCGGTCAGCATTCAGCAGTACAGCAGCACAGAACAAAATAGATATTTTGAAAAGACAAAAATATCCACAAGAAGGAATAAATGTATACCGTTAGCCCAAGACTTGCCAAGAGTTTGCTTAGAAAATATTTTCAGACCTAAGACCTAAAAGGTCTGATCATGATCATGATCATGATCAAGCCTCTGAACATGTACAGGACATTCCACAACTGTAACTAGCCACCATATAATCTGGAGATTCAATTAAATTCAATTCAAATCTTTATTGTCAGTGCACAATCTATGTACAATGAGATTGGTTGAGCTCCCTCAATGCACCTCCCCCAACACAATACAACTCACAGTGAAGACAGAAAATCCCTAACCCAATAAATCATATTAACAAAACACCCAGTCCTATTGCACCAGTGTGAACATGTTACACATTGCGCCGGCCCTGCAGTCCATCATACTACATAGTTATGATGTTATTTCTCATTCAGAAGTCTGACAGCCCATGGATAAAAGCTGTTCTTCAGCCTATTTGTGCGACTGGCTATACTTCTATATCTCCTTCCCGATGGTAGGAGGGTAAAGAAGTGATGACCAGCGTGAGAGTCGTCCCTGAGAATTTTCTTCACTCTTCTAAGGCAACGAGCCCTAGTGATTTCATCTAGTGGTATCAGGGGACAGCCCACAATGTTTTGTGCTGTGCTTGCCACCCTCTGTAATGTTTTTCTTTCCGTGGCCATCAGACCAGTATGCCATACTGTGATGCAATAGTACTTAGACTTATATACCGCTTCACAGTGCTTTACAGCCATCTCTAAGAGATTTTACAAAGTCAGCATATTACCCCCAACAATCTGGGTCCTCATTTTACTGACTTCGGAAGCATAGAAGGCTGAGTCAACCTTGAGCCTGGTGAGATTCAAACTGCCAAATTGCAGGCAGCCGGTAGGCAGCAGAAGTAGCCTGCAGTACCGCATTCTAACCACTGCGCCACCACAGCTCAATGTGTCAATGCCAGGTCAGAGGATGTAGCCAGGTTTCATTTCTCACTCCTTGTTCCTTGATGATTAGCTGATAGCAAGTGGCTAGAAGCAACTGCAGTCAAAATTCTACGCTCTGAGTTTATAGTTGATGAAATGGAAAGACAGCACTTTTGGCAATATTATAATCCTGAAAGTGGAATTGAAACGCGGACTTAATAATTCCTTTTTTTCCCCTCTCTCCTAGTGGATACAGCAGATTGAGGGGGCTGAAGCAGCTCTGCACCAGAAGATGATGGAATTGGAAAGTGACATGGTAGGAAAGAAAACCTTTTGGGGGTGGGGGCAGTTTTCACTTTATCCCATGCTTATTGATAGTTGCCTGCTGGAATTTCCTTTGTTTTTGTCTGAGTATTATTACAGATAGTCCTCGAGTTACAACTATTTGTTTAGCGACCATTTGGAGTTACAATGGCACTGAAATAAGTGACTTATGACTGTTTTTCACGCTTACAAGCATTGCAGGTCATGTGATCCAAATTTGAGCCCTTGGCAACTGGCATATATTTGTGACAGTTGCACTGGCCCTGGGTCATGTGATCACCGTGTGTAACCTTCCCAGCCGGATTCCAACAAGCAGGGGGAGGCCAGATTCACTTAATGACTACATGATTCAGTTAACAACTGCAGCGAATCACCTAACAATTGTAGCAAAAATAGTCATAAAATGGGGCAAAACTCACTTAATAACTGCCTTGCTTAGCAATGGAAATTTGGGCTCTTTTGCGGTCATAAGTCAAAGACAGTAGTGGGTTTCAAATCCTGTTGCTACCGGTTTGTTTGTGGGCGTGCGCCAATGGTGGGTTGCCCCCGGTTTGCACCGGTTCTATAGAACCGGTAGTAAAACCAGCGGGAGGATTCACTCACTAACCCCAATGTCATCAAAGTGCTTCTGTGCATGCACAGATGCTTCTTTGCTTGAGTAGAAGAGCATGCATACGCGTGAGCGAAGCAAGCACATGCGCGCAGCCCCATTGCGAACCGGTAGTAAAGGTAAGTAGAACCCACCCCTGGTGCACACACGTTCGGACATGCACGTGACACTTCTGCACATGCACAGACGTGTCTGGGCGGGTGGGCAGAGCCTCCCGCTGCTGCTGCTACCGGTTCGCCCAATCCAGGGCGAACCGGTAGCAACCACCATTGCTTAAGGACTATCTGTATATATTTTCTTATTTCAAGAATATTAAAAGTAGTGATTTTTTTTTTCAAACTGTCATTCCATATAGGAGCAGTTCTGTAAAATAAAAGGTTATCTGGAAGAAGAACTGGACTATAGGAAACAAGCTCTCGATCAAGCCTATATGGTAATTTGAAAGCCAAGGATGGAAACAAAAGTACATTTCAGAATGCAAGTTTGCTGCATTCCAGTGACAAATGCATGGGCTTGCAGTATGTTCTCACATAAGTTTAGTTAAAGCAAACTCCAAATTAATGTTATTTTTTTAGATGACAGAGAGGGAGAGAGATACTCGCTGAAGAAGGTCGTCTCACACTTGGGAGTTTGAGAGTTCAATCCTAAACAGCAATAGATGTTTCTCTATCAGGGTGCAAGGAGAAAAAATATGCTGTGAACTACATGTAGGTGTCAGGAAGGGCATCCGGCCAGTAAATGCTCAGCTTTATCCAGTCACCCTGATCCCATCTCGATAGAAGGCATTTCAGGGTCATAAAAAGAAAAGAAAAAGGGAGAGAGAGAGAGAGAACTCTCTATGAAATAATGTGTCAGTCTACTTTTTTGTTCTCCTTATATAAGTGAGAGCTCCAGTGAATATCCGAATTTCTACTCCAAAGGCATAGCACATTACATGTTAACTTCAAAAGGGTGGAGCACTGTGTACGCAAAGGTTTATTTGTCATTGGAATGCATGGAAAAACATATGGTATGTCCTGAAAAGGAGGGGGTAGGTAGTGGGAGTAAAAAAAAAGTTTACCTTCAGATGTCATATGGAGCTATTAGTAATCATCAGATTTGAGGCATTGAATGTAGTATGCTGCATTTGAGAGAAATATATAGTATCGTTATTGTCTATTAATTCCAGTTGGTTCTACTGATTTAAAATATGTACAGAGACAAACAGATGGTTTTGACCCGATTGTATCCCCTTCCAATATTTTGTTATGCTATTGCTTAGAGAATCCAGGAGCTTGAGGCTACGCTTTACAATGCTTTGCAACAAGAAACAGTGATAAAGTTTGGAGAACTGCTGAGTGAAAAGCAGCAGGAAGAACTTCGAACTGCTGTAGAGAAACTGAGAAGGCAAATGCTGAGAAAAAGCAGAGAATATGACTGTCAGATCCTCCAAGAGAGAATGGAATTGCTTCAACAGGCACATCAGGTGAGGTTCAGTGTATAGAAAAACATTAGGGAGGTCCAGTTTATATATGGGTTTCATGGTATTTATTGTTGAGATAAAAATGTGAGAGCAATGATTAAATAAATATTAAAGATTGCTGATCGTATTAGAGAACAATCAATATGTAAATATAAATTTTAATCAAATTAAAATTGTTAGTTTTTATCAGGCCACATTCTTCTTCTTTTTTTTTTTTTTAAATTTGATTTATATGCCGCCCTTCTCCAGAGACTCAGGGCGGCTTACAATGCATTAAGCAATGGCCTTCATACTTTTGTATATTTATACAAAGTCAGCTTATTGCCCCCACAAACTGGGTCCTCATTCCCTCCACGTTAAAGTGTAATCCTTTCACTTTATTATGAAACAACGTTTGTCCCTCAACCTGGAAAAGGCTAAAACCCATGTAATTAGAGGGATACTTATTTTTCATATGTATTAGTTTAAAATTTTTAAATTAATTGTCTTCGGACAGACTTCAGAAGACATATTTTTTTATTAATTTGATTATTTATGGATACATTCAATTTGTTTCTAGAGGATCCGAGACTTAGAAGATAAAACAGACATCCAGAAGAGGCAGATAAAGGATTTGGAAGAAAAGGTTGGTTGTTTTGCATTTCAATAATAATAATAATAATAATAATAATAATAATAATAATAATAATAATAATAATAATAATAATAATAATAATAATAATAATAATAATAGTAATAGTAATAGTAATAATAATACTTTTAAGAATTTCCTATTTTATAACACTAGGACTCCACCACTATTTTCAGAGATTTTGATGATGTTTGGAAGAACACAACCAGGGCAAATGATATGCCCCACTAACCAGAAAGGGTTTTCAATGTGACTGTTGGGTGTCATTTTTCTTCTAATGATACAAGAATCACTATCTAATCTCTTCTCCTCATTCAGATTCCCTTTAGAATCATACTGTAATAATAAGAAAATAACAGAAATCAGATTTTACCCATTATTCTACCATTATATCAATTTGAACATGCTAAGAATAATCAGCTTAAAATTGTTATTATTATACTATAGTGGTACTATATTCTTTTTTTCAATCTGCCCTTTTATTTAATGGACTGTTTTCTATTTTACTAAGTTAGAATCAGTCAATAAATGCAGAGGATTTTAGCTAACTAATATTTTATCTTAGTTTAAAACAAAAATCAAAATAGTTCATTTATCGTTCATTTATATCATGATGGATATTGTTTAAAGGAGAAGACTAAACACCTGTCCATAGTGATTAAACATGAAAAGCTGTTGTTTGTAACACAAAAGCTTATTCATGATGCTATCATTTTGCTAGGTTTTCTTGTTAAACAAGTTTGGTTGTAAAAACATAAATAATTTGCCCTAAATTAGTAATGTAATCAAAAAGGGAGTTTCAATGAAATTTAGGAAATAGAAATTTAAGGAAAAGGATATCTTGTGGGTTGAGTCCCTCCAGTGAAGTGACTTGGAATTCCTCTATGGAGAAAACACCCACCTATGGATCAGATGATATCACCAAAACTGAAGCCATTAATATTAGATTGACATTAAGGAGATTAGCTAGTAAGATAGAAGCCTTAAATTATAGTGCTGTATGATTTCTTGGACTAAGTCTATTGCAGGGTTGTCAAATTTACATCATAACATCGGCGCCACGTACAAATCGGGACTTTTCCCCCCTTCGCTAAACTGGATGTGGGCGTGGCCAGCGCATGACACATCCAACCTGTGAGCCGGGAGTTTGACAGCCCTGATCTATTGAATTTTATTCCTTTCAAATTACATGCCATATCTACGATAATAAAAACCTCTTAAAACTATTTTTTCTTGCAGTTTCTGTTTCTGTTCTTGTTCTTCTCTCTTGCCTTTATTCTTTGGCCTTGATGTCAATGTGCCTCTTGGAAGGTAAGGGTGATTCTTTCTTTCTTTTTTGACACCAACATACTCTTTTCCAATTCAGTTCCAAAGTAGCATAGTTATTATGTGTATATCTGAACTCACATCAGAGATGACAATGGAAGGATAGATTGAGCAACTGTCAAATATTTCGCCAAGGTCTATTACTTTTTACATGTTACACAGAGAGCAAAAGTTCTGCAAAAAGCTATCAAAGCAAATTTCAGGTACCTATTAAGTAAAATTCAGGTACGTGTTTATTAAATAAAATTCAGGTATGTGTTATGTGGACACATAAGACTTTTAAATATATACCTAAAAATTTAAAGCATAATTTATTTTAAATGTAATACATAATGGAATGTTTTCTTTCTCAGTGAAATGTCTGTCTGTCTAAATGTGTATGTATTTGGTATTGGTGTGCATATGTACATATATTATTATTTTTCCTCATAGCAGTTATTTTTAAGTTAAATTTTCAAATACAAAACTGTAATTTGGAATAATTGATTTATTGTCATAATATAGTTTTTAAGTACCTCATTATATTGAATGATTTCATATTGTTATAGAATAAAAGCATGAGAGGAATGTATTACAAGTTAAATATTCTGAACAAAATAAACTCCAGAGAAGAGTTCAGAATTTGAGTCAAAAGTATATATATGGACGGCACACAGCAACAATTTCAGCCAATGGAGAACTTTTCACTCTTTCAAATAAGTAAAGGCACAAGACGTCTACATTCTCCTCCTGTTATTATTGTTCCTATAGAAATATTGGTAAAAAAAATCCAAGATGACAAATACACCAACATAAGCTCAAATATTATGTATATGATATAGAATTAACTATATGATATAGAATTAACATGAAATCACAATGGGCAAGGAGAGCATTAATTAAAATAATCCAATGTTAATGTCACTCAAATCAATGTCCACATACCATTGCTAGAAATCATAAATGAAAGGAGGGTGATGAACTTATTTCCAATATGTGAATTCCAATGGGTCTGGATGGCCACTGTGGCAGAAAAATGTTAAACCATATATGACTTTTAGCAGATCGAACATCTCTCATTTAATCTAAACTGATCAGCCTGTGCCTTGGTAAGACCGCACTTGGGATATTTATTTATTTATTATTTAAATTTTTATACCGCCCTTCTCCCGAGGGACTCAGGGCAGTGCACAGCCACAATAAAATACATATATCCATAAAATTTAAAAACAATTTAAAACATATTAAATAATTTTGGCCCAAATTAAAAACTAAAACATTAAAATTCGTTATTAATCCAGCCCAGCCTGTTGAAACAGTAAAGACTTAAGGGCGCGGCGAAAGGTACATAGGTCAGGAATCATATGAATCTCCGGGGGCAATTTATTCCAGAGGGCAGGTGCCCCCACAGAGAAGGCTCTCTCCCTGGGGGTCACCAGTCGACATTGTTTGACTGACGGCACCATATTGCATTCAGTTTTGGTCATCCTGATATAAAAAAGATGTTGAGACTCTAGAAAGAGTGCAGAGAAGAGCAGCAGAGATGATTAGGGGACTGGAAGAGAAAACATGAAGAACAGGTTGAAAGGATTCAGTATGTCTATGACATGACAGCAGTGTTCCAATATCTAAGGGACTGCCACAAAGAAGGAGGGGGGGCGGTATCAGCCTATTCTCCAAAGCACCTAAAGGCAGAACAAGAAGGAATGGATGGAAACTAATCAAGAACAGAACCAACCTAGAAATAGGGAGAAATATCCTGACAGTGATAACAATTAATATGTGGAATGGCTTGCCTTTAGAAGTTATGGATGCTCCATCACTGGAGATTTTTAAGAAGATATTATAAATTTGGTTCCAGGATAACATAATGGTTCAGATAGTAACTTGTGCAGCTTGAGAGCCCTGTGCATGATTACACTTGATCACAGAGCTCAGTGAGTGACTTTTGTAGCTCTGCAACCTCATATTTCTATTTATAATAGGAGGAATAAATTTGATAGCAACTCCATGATATGTATCCTTGAGCTCTGAAGAGCAAAGGTTGGGTAATGCAATAATCAGTTTTTAAAGAATAGATGAGAACTTATTTTAATCCAATATAAGGTACTCTAGAGTTCATGGATCTTGCAGTAGATGGGTAATTAAATTTCACTAATGCAGACTTCTTCAACTATGCTTTTTTTTTTTTTTTTTGGTCATTTTCCAGACTGATCACCAACACAGAAAAGTCCTGAGAGGGCAGATGCTTCCAAACCCACAAAAAAAAAAAAACCAACAACCCACTGTTTACAACTACTTTAAAACAAAGCAACTCTCTGCAATCAAGACCACTCCCACCAAGCAGTTTAAAGCCATTATTCAAGATTTGTTACTTAACAGTTCCTGTCTAAAGCTACAATATCAGCTGCACTTAAGGAAATTCTGCGAGGAGGGAGAGACTATCCCAGCAGCATACATCACTGGGTTTATTTAAAAAAAAAAAAAATCAGCAAGAAGCCACATTCAGCAGATTGAGTAATAGTATGTCAGGCAAGGAACCAAAGTGACTACAGACTATCAATCCCTGCTGTGCAGGGGGATTATTTTAAACATAAAACATCAATTTCCCATGAAAGTCTTCAATAATTGAGGGGACAAAGTATTTAGAGTTCTAAGAGGACCATTATGATAATATCCATTTGGAAAAAAAAATTGGCTTTCTTAATACAGGGACACTTTTTTTCTGTTTTTAAACTCAGGAACAATGACAGCTGCAATGTGAACAAAAGACTCTTGTTTTTGTTTCAAACTGGGTGGACAACAGGATCGATATAATTGACATTAACCTACTGCTGCCTGCTAGATCAAGGATGATCAGGCCTAGTGAGAGTGGCTGACAGTGCTTGTGAGGACCCATGCTGTAGTCTTATGAAAACCGTCCATGAAGAACTGTGTGCTAGAAATGTATGTTACATTTTTCAAACGAAAAACTCTTCCGAGAATGCCACACTAATTTAACTAGCTGCTTAATATCTATTCAGGAACTGGGATAGAAGGGTAAGAAACAATGGCGTCTGAGAAGAAGCAAACACCTTTAGTGAGACTTCAGCTTCACAAAATTTCATCCTTGAATTCATTCAGCAGTTAATGTACTAATGAAATAAGCGTTTTGTTTTCCCTCATCGTGTTTATTTTCTTCACTGGCTGCAAGAATCATAATGGGGACACCTCTTAATTAGCAACCCTGCACAGTAAAAATGCAAATTTATTTTGTGAGAATAGGTCTGAAATTAGCATTAAGGTCTACCTGAATGCAGCAATTCTTTTCTAGGTGACAAGGTGTTACATTCAATTTTGATCGTTTTCTTTGTGGAAGTATCTCTTGGTCATGCAAATGCTCATCTGAAATCACTGGCTTGTATTTGGGGGTGGAGGAGGAAGTCCCATGCATTCAAGGCAATCAGGTCACTGCACTTAAGGCAGCAAGAGAGCTTAGTGGAGATTAGTATCCCACCAATTCTGCTCCTAAAAATCCTCACTGCCCAATTTTTCCATTTGTACTCTCCTCTTAGGCTACCACATCTGGGCTGTAAAAATCCAAATGACCAATTAGATGGCAACAAAGAGTCTTCTGCATTTCTTTGCTTGGATTTCTTCTTTTTTCTTTTGTTATCTACAGCCCAGATATGGTAGACTTATTTATTCCCCCTATAGATAATAAGGGTTGAATGGTCACCCATGAACCTGCATAATTTAATTGCATTTAAAAATAAAAGAACGAATCTTACTTTTCTTCTGGATGTTTGTTCCTGAACTCATATCAATAACAATAGCATTTATCTTTAAAGATGTACTTTATGTGCTGCTTAGCACTCAAAATCAATCTGAACATCTAACAAAAACTCTTCCAATCCAAGATTGGAATGCCTAAAACTTTGAGCATCTACTGCTTGGTCACCATCATGCCTAATTTGATAATCCAAGCACATTACTTAGCCCTATATTCACATACCTGGCCGCATATCTGTTCTTTAAAAATCCATCTGTTCCTAGTACTTGCTTGGGTCACAGGTAGTTTGGTGGACTTTGCCTCTGAGAAATCATTAGAGGGTCAGGCAAACCTTGGAAATATTTATCTACGGGACCCTTTCAGATTTTAGATTTTAAGGTAATGATATAGGCCACACAATTAGTATTTAGCCACCCAGGAAAAGGCTTGTTATTTATCACACAATAGTGGTAATAGCAGACCTGGACTACTAAATGCAGTCTCATGGTCTGTTCTTTCTCAAGTACAGTTCTGAGTTGAGTCTGTGTAATCAGTTTTGTTCTATCAACCAAAGAACATATCAGGTTGGTTTCTAAAATTTGTCCTCATTCCAAAGGGAGACAAGGATTCAGCCCTTATAGTCGATCAGTTGGTATGTTGAAGATTTTGATACATATTATATGTCTCAAAGTATATATTTCATATACTTTGATAAATTTACATCACATAATTCCAAAATCTTACTTAGACCCAAACTTTCTTCCTTTCAGACTTTCATTGAATAAGACTACTAAAACAAAAAGCAGAATAAAGAGAAAAGAGGTACATGTCAAACTTTGAATTGCTTAATAATAAATTACTTTTTGGACTCCAACTTCAAGGAAAATTCTTCCACATCTACCAGTCTGCTCTGAACCTAAGCAAGCAACTAGAGCTGGCTGGGAAATGTCCAGGCATGAAATTGTCCTTGTCAGTTGAGAATACATTGTAGGTTACACACAGCACACGTGTGTACAATAGTACTGAAAAGTAAAATATCTTCCTTTTCTGATCTTGTTCCTTGAGGATTCCCTAATATTAATATTAAATGAAAGTTTATTCATTCTGCATTTATTATAATATACCTTGCAGAATATAATTAGGTTTCCAAAGAGCAACTCTATATGAAGCAGTTTAAGATGATCTATTTATATAACTTATTTATATAACTTATCCAGCAAAATTGATGATGTTCCAAAAAAAAATTTTTTTTCTATCTAGTAACTGACATTTTTCATCTGCCTTTTGTTCTCCATTGTCATATAGTTCCAGTAAAAAAATTAGGATGATGATGACTTCCATGGGCCAAATATAGTCCGTCTCAAAGGGCTGAGTGTTCTTCGCATCACAGTGAACTTCAGGAATAAACCACTTTAATCCTTTGTAACATATGAGCATATAGGAAAATATGCTGACCTAAATATTGTTTTTTGTCTTCCCGCAAAATGCATAAATTCTGTCAGTCAGCACAAGATTAAGAAAAAGCATATGAAGCTTCTCAAGAATACAATTGTGCTGTGATTAACAAAAATCATTTACATCATCATCACTTGAAGGCTTTTTCAGGAGAATTATATTTAATAATTTTATCTTTACATACATCTGCTAATATTTAAATACTTATGTTCATTTCTTTTTTTATAATTCCCTAGTCTTTGTCAGGAAAATCCCAGAAGTTACAGATGAAATTCATGATGACTGATATCTATACAAAACAGAGAGTAGTAGCATGCTATTTGCCACCTGTACCATTTAGTATATGATTTGGGATCCTAATTGCTAGTTAACATATTATTGCTGTATTTTTGCTGCCAAGGTGGAGGACAGCAAATTGGTGAAGTTGCCTGCTACAGCCTGGAGGGACCATAAGCACATGGACTTGATATACCATTTGTTGCTCTGGTCCATCTACCAGGAAGTAGAGGAAAGTGAACCAAATAAACTTATCCATGTAGCAATACCAATAGCACCTAGACTTATATACCGTTTCATAGTGCTTTATAACACTTTCTAAGCACTAACAGAGTTAGCATATTGCCCCCAACAATCTGGGTCCTCATTTTACCAACCTTGGAAGGATGGAAGGCTGAGTCAACCTTGAGTCTGTCAGGATCGAACTCCTGGCAGTGGGCAGATTTAGCCTGCATTCTAACCACTGCGTCACCACAGCTCTATCAAAGAGACTAACATTTGTAGCAGAGTGTTTCCTGCAATCTGTACAATCTGTACATGACAGAGTTGAAAAATTGCTTTAAATGGAGTTTTGTTAATAAATGAAAATAGAAAGGAAACCTGCTGATAAAAAGAACCCTACACTATTCCTTTTCATTTTCTTATCAGATACAGTAGTGGAACAGAGGCTGTTCTTATACTGTGTATGTTAATGTTCAAGTCCTTTGTGGTTCTAAAATAACTGAGGAAGAAATATTCAGCTTGCAGACTATTTCCTGTTTTGTAAGAGTGTTATAGATTGCCTCAGTCCTGATACGTGCAACTACAACAGACTGAAATGAGATACGCACAGTGAATTCTTATGACAGTCTAAAACAGTGCTTCTTAAACTTGCTGTCTGGGGAATTCTGGGAGTTGAAGTCCACACAGCTTAAATTTGCCAAGTCTGGGAAACACTGGTTTAGCATTTTCCCTCTGTATAGTGCAGTATGAAACTGAAATAAAAATGCAGATGTATACACACATACACAGATACACAGACATAGGCAAAGACATACACAATGTGATATTTAAAAGAAGAAATATTCAGGACCCACATAACACCTTCCATGAAACTTAGAATATAGCAATATGATTTCTTTATACTACTGGGACTTTGAGCCACAGCAACCATTTTTCAAACGTCTTGGTTTTCTTATAAAGATTAAGTCATAAATAAATACCTAGCTCTATATTTCAGTTGTGTTTTCAACGTGAAAATTTGCTTGTGACCACTAACTGGATGGAAGTGATTATTCTTAAAAGGACCGTGTCAAAATGCAACTGCATCCAAATATAAACATATAACTTTATTAGGTAATAACGGCTGATATTATTGATATATTTGCTCTTGTGTATGCCCACCCCTGTAAATCTTCTATTCTGCAAATATCATCATCAGACAATGCAGTACGTAATTTGCCTTTGTCATTTGACTTCCTCTATATGGAGTAACTGAGATTTCATCCTTTTAACATTTCAGAAAAATAGGTTGTTCATTTTTGGGCAAGAAAGTTGCTTTGATAGCATATGGCTTGTTGTCTTTTGTCACACTTGTCCCTTGTTGTGTTTTTCTATTCCCATGGAATTTAATTTCAATTTCTCCTCTACCCTTTGAAAAGTATGAAAAGATGATATGGCTTAAGGAAATGCTAAGGAGCAGTCTTAGCATACTGAAGGAACTACAATCTTCTCAGCTCTGCCTTTAGTGTTGCAATATGTTCTTTATAAATGCATGTTCAGCCCACATTCTCTGATATGTACAACCAGATTTTTGATTAAAGCTGTGGAGGAGGACAGTTAAACCCCAGCTCCATACATGAAGGTTTACTATGGAGAACATTCAGTGGTCTTCTTGGACCCTGGAGGGGCTTTTTTCCCCCCTCTGCTCAGTGAAACCCAATCTGTGCCTAATATCCACCTCTTGACACTGACTTTCAAACTCTCCATAAGTCAAAATTAGTTCCCTTATATACATATGTATGTCAATACATTAGTATTTTTGTGTACATATATATATATATAGTTTTGTGTACATAATAGAATGCTTTTACCTCTTATAAAACTGTACTTCCATTTCCAAGAAGGAGTTCGTGGGATGAAGAAGGTGTTTCAGAGGCAAGAATCTTCTGGGAAAGGTGATGGTGAATTTGCAGTTTCATCCTAATGAAAGTGGCCCTATAGCACCAGCTAGCACAGGAAGCCTTTGTGTGTATGTAGTTAACCCTACAAGCATTTGTAACCCACTAGACCCCGCTGGTCAGGCCCACTGGAAGGACCTCCCTGCTGATTTTTTCCTAAAATAAAGCCAGATGGATTAAATCATCACAACTGGCTCCTTGTGTTTTCAATTTGGCATTTCACTGACAACCCCACAGTATTTTCTTTTCAGCATCAACACCATGTGGCTTCCATTGACATCACCATTGAGGAAGATGTCTCAAATTAGCCTTTTCGAAAGGAAAGGGAGGAGGGGGTACATTGGAGTGGCAAATACCCAGCAAAAGAGCCTCATGTGCAACTCAGCAGTATTAGTTTTCTCAACACTCACCATACCAAGCTTTCCCTTTTTGACATATGGAAAGGTAATGCAGCATAGTTTTCTTGCAAGTGTGGTAACATTTCCAATTTCTCAAGGGCAGCGAGCCACCTGTGAACCAATTGCTCCGGTGAATCAACATAGTATTTTCCTCTGTTATTTTCTATTTGGACTCTGCTAACGGACCCCTTTTTATCTCTCTGAATTGAAATTCAGGAAAGTGCTAATCTATTTGACTGCAATTCTACTTTCTCTACTGGATCTCCTTGTATATAACTTCCTTCCTTTTTTTGTGTCTATACCTCCAGAAGAGAATTGTAAATTATTTGGCAGAACGACTCTTTGATAAACACTGGGACCCATGTATATGTACTGTATGTATTAACGTGTAGATGAGGATCCTTACTGTATGTAAAGTTTTATGGATGGTTATTTTTTAATTTATGTATTTAATATAGGGTTCAATGACCACTGGTGTTTTAGTTTGTATAAAAAAAATAATAATAAAACTGCAGCATTTTTTAAAACTTCACTTTACATTAATGGATGCATTATCCACATCTTGTTTAAAACCTGATTCTAGAACACTATATACAGAGGGCAAGAGAGCAATAAAAACCCATCTGCTTCCTGCCACATGCAAATTATAATCACAAAATGAGCAGATTTTCAGTTTGGGGCTGTATTCTTACCAGGAATGATCAGGGCAACGTCCTGGTATATATGAAGTAATAATAAAGTTGTGTGCTTCTGAATATGTGCTAAGTTAATTTTATTCACCATTAAGACATTACCTTTAAAATTTAGGAGGACAGCAGTGCACTTGAGCCCTTTGAAATTTCTTTTCAGAAATTAAGCCAATATTTCTAAACTTTTGCAACTTTAAGATCTGTGGACTTTGGCTCCCAGCTGCTGGCTGGGGAATTCTAGGAATTGAAGTCCAGTCCATACATCTTAAAGTTATGGAGGTTGAGAAACATTGAATTAAGCAATGGCATCTTCCTGCCCCAGCAGGCTTTTTCTGACTGGAAGACAAACCACAATGCCTTCTAAACCAACTACATAGTTTTAAAAACCTAGGATGCTTCAATTAAGTAAAATAACTTGATGAAGTCAAACACGTCGCTGGACACAACAAGAGATATACCATTGTACAAGAAAGTGCACCCAACATGCATGAATAAGATTCCTTTGTAGCATCACTAGTGACAAAAGATCCCATATAAATCAAATTAAAAAAAAAAAAATGCTTGAAAGACCGAAGAAACCACAGTTAGAAGTATAAGCAATTGTAAACTAGAAGAGCAGTACTCTACTTCAATATAAAACTGTTTCTGATGCTTGAATGATAGAACTTTGCATTCTTGAACGAAGGGAGAATTTTAAGTTCTGCTGAGTGTTTATATAGGAAAGTAATTAGCATTAGCAAACAAACATTTTAGTGCATTTGGCATTAAGTAGCAAGACCACCTGCTAAAACCAGCTGTTTTATCAACTTCAATCACTACCCCGGGTGTATGTATGTACTGTGTGCGTGTAAACACACACACGGATACAAGAATACACACACACACACGAACAAACACAGGATTTTATTTATTTATTTATTTATTTTTAAATTTGTATACCGCCCTTCTCCCTGAGGACTCAGGGTGGTGAACAGCCAAGTAAAAGCATAAACTACAAACATTAAAATACAATTAAAAAGATATATATAAATTTGGCCCCATGATTAAAAACAATAACAAACAATTAAAAACATTTTAAAAAGTGTTAGGCCAGCCCGGCTTGCTGGAAAAAGAAGGTTAGTGTCATATGCATGTATATATATATGTGTCTGTGTCTGTGTAAGCATAAATGCACATGCATATTATTCATTAATGGCTGGTATTATGTGATAAAGTGTTTAGCTCAGGGGTCTGCAACTTTAAACACTCAAAGAGCCATTTGGGCCCGTTTCCCACAGAAAAGAAATTACCGGGGGAGCCACACAACCTGGGTGGGCATGGCCAACTCGACATCACTCACTCCCACCCAGTCACATGAACCGCCCACCAGCCACACTTACCCAGGTTTTGTGGCTCCTGATCTTACCTTAGTCAATCGCCCTTACCTTCTTAGGCCAGGCAAAGAGTGACTGGGAGGGGAGAGGAGGGCGAGGGGTGGGGCCAGCCAGCGGTGGATTCAGCAGACAGGGAGCCACAGCAGGGGGACAAAAGAGCCACATGCAGCTCCAGAACTGCAGGTTGCAGACACCTGTCCTAGCTCAATGGTTTGGCTCAGTGTGTTACATATGCCTTAGATAAAAATGGTTAAGCAAACCATGTGTTCTCCTTTCCAAATATCCTGCTGGCTATGTTTTTCAAAATATAAACATTCCCACATTTGCCTACCATATAATATTTAAAGATATTTTTTAACAAAATGATAACTCGGATAGTTAAAAGAATAGTAGTTCAGCACCCACATATACTGTAATCCTTGCCTTAATTCTGATTCTGATTCTATCCACAAGGTGGCAGCCATTTGCTGTCATTCAAACAAACAGATTTGGGTGGAAAATCAAGAGATTTTTGTGAATCCAGTGTTTTATTCTTATAATTCTCTTTATCTAGACATTACCTGTTTTCTTCTGTGTCCAAATTAATCCCAAATCCTAAATTATTTGAAATATGACACAGTGCCAGCATCTTTGTGGTGTCTCAAAAGAGTGTGGGAAAACTCTTTATTCGACAGATTGGTCTTTGCAATGAAGTCTTAATTTCTCTGCCTAATACTTAAGCCTGCTGTGTGACAAGCACACTAGTTTAATTTAATTTATCCTAGTGGCTCATCTTTCAGAATATAAAACCTTGGAATTAATTAACTGCACTCTCAGAAGTTCAGCCATCACAAAAAGGATAAAGTTCCGTCGGAATTGTTTTCTAACTTCTAACCTTTGGAGGCAATTGCTTCTGTTTTAAGGTAGAATAAAGGATTTTATTGTGTCCATATGCCTTCTGCCTCTGTTCCTCCACCCTGTTGTGATTGGTGAACTTTAATAAATAACATGAATCAGCAGTAATTCAAATCATGGGCAGGAACAATAACCTCATATGTGTGGGTGGGTGAGTGAGTGAGTGAATCTGTGCGTGCTTGGGGATACAATGTGGTGCACTCCTTTCATAGCCAGGCTGGTCAAAAGGAAAAGGACCAGTTCTTCACAGCAGTGCGCATGTGAGGGTGGGTGTATTCAAAACAGAGGCAGACAATGTTCAGCGACTAGGAGCCACATGTAAACAAAGCCCAACAGAAACCAAAAAATAGTGCCTGAGGACTACAATGATAGGGCAGATATATAATAATGCAGTCAGATAGGATGGAAAGGATTATGGATCTATTTTTCCCCTATTGAAAATGATGTCTCACACACACGTGTGCGTGCATGCACATCCACACCTCTAACATGTATGTATGTAGTTGAAGTAATCAGTGTCCAAAAAGATTTCTTTTTAAATTCCCCCCAAAATAATTGAATTATATAATTTTGTGATACAAACTTAATCATCTTTAGGGGGGAAATGGAGTTCAAAACTATATATGTTTCATAGTCACTATCCCTTTCATAAATATATGAAGTGTGGGAAAATAATTACCGTATTTTTCAGAGTATAAAATGCACCTTTCCCCCCCCAAAAAAGGGGATGAAAATTTAGGTGCATCTTATACACCGAATGTAGCCTTGCCCACCCGCTGGCCCCCACCCTTTGGCCTCTGCTCCATGCAAGCAAACAGCAAGAAAAAACAGCTCCTTTCAGCTTCAGCACAGCCTAATTAGCACAAGTTGAATGGATCAGCCTCCCAACTCTCAGCTGATTTGCTCTCAGCTGTTTTGCGCAGGGCTCTGCTGCTTGCTGCAAAGAGGTAAATTGCTGGAGCAGATTTTTTTTTCTCCTTGTGCTAATCAAGCTATGCTGAAAACAAAAATGAAAGTAAAGCAAGCTGCTGTTTGCTGCAATGAGGCAAAATTGCTCAGAGGCAGAGGGAGATTTCTTTTTCTTCTTTTCCTCACTAAAAAAGGTAGGTGCGTCTTATACTCCGAAAAATACAATACATATTTACAGAGCCCTTCTTTTTAATCATTCTTGACTCTTGGCAATTGGCTGGACTGCAGTGGTGGGATTCAAGTAATTTAACAACCAGTTCTCTGCCCTAATGATTTCTTCCAACAACCAGTTTGCCAAACTGTTCAGAAAGTTAGCAACCGGTTCTCCCGAAGTGGTGCGAACTGGCTGAATCCCACCACTGCTGAACTGGTTCCTGCAGGTTTTGGCAAGGTTTTTCAGAAGTGGTTTGCCATTGCCTGTTTGCTAGGGCTGAGACAGTGGCTGGGCCAAGGTCAACCAGTTGGCTTAGAACTCACAGCCTCCTGGTTTCTAGCTTGGTCCTTTAACCACTATACCACACTGGTTGGTGGCTGGGGGATTCTGGGAGTTGAAGTCCACCCATCTTCAAGCTATCAAGGTTGAGAAACACTGCTGAATGTGCTTTTCCAAAGATGCTGTTGAACCTTCCAGAATTATCGACCTTGTAAAGCCTAACGCAAGAGATATGCCAACAGTTTACTTCCTAAAGCAAAGGGAATGAGTTGGCAGGAGGTCAGGTAGACTGAGGAGGGCTAGATAAGAAGAAAAACATCTCACCTGGTATAATGCCAATCTTGATTGCAAAAATATAACCCAGACATTACAGTTACTTTGATGCCTTCTTAGTCCCTCCTTGGCCTTCCTTTTATTATCTACTACTGACCAAAAGGAAAACATTAAAAAAATGTTTCACCTTATCTCATCTTACAGCCTTTAGTTACACTCTTAGAGAAGGGCTTTGTTTGTTACAGCACACACGCATAGACATATTTCTCCTTGAACTAGTTGTGATCCTTTGGCTTCTTTTTTTTTAATGAAAATGTGTGAAGTGTTTTCCAAGGCAGGAATTAGCCATTTAGCTCAGTAGAAATGCACCTCCTTTTAATCTGCCCGTGAACAGCTTCCATTGTGCTTCTTCTACTCCAGTTAAGAAATGGAGCAGGGGAGAAGGGGTGAAGAGACAGCGAAAGGACAGTGAAACAATGAAATACGTTGCAGAAAGAAAGAGAGAGACCCTTGGAACTGGGTCAAACTGAAAGTTAAATGAAAGAATAGCTCTTGTTTATTCAACGCAACATCACAGTTCTAGTTTATTTCTCATAGGATTAAGGAAACATCCCACTTTAAGCAGAATTTCCCATGTTATATCCTTTAAATCTACACATTATTTATTTTCATCTCTAGATAAGTCAAGTCCCCTTATTGGCCCTCATACTGAAACTGCTTCAAAAAGCACTAGATAAGCTCTGCTATCACAGGATTTCTCACATATATGTAGGATATTCTGGATGGTTTTCTTCATGCTGACACAATGATGCACTTACACCACAAAAAAAGAAGAAAAGCCATGAGCTAGCCAGGAAAAAGAGATTCATAAGCTCTGTTGCCAAACATGTTTATATGGACT